TTGTTGCCTAGATATTTCCAGCTAGAGCCGTAGAAGTTGATCTTGCGAGGCGCCAGCAGCTCTTGCAGTGTCCAGCCTCGAGTAAACCATCTACTTTTGAAGAATTGGGAGGAATAGAAAGAATCAAGCTCGTCGTGTTCAAAGTGTGCGTCCTTGACGAAATCTAAGAACTCATCATCGAGGTTGTCGACGTCTGGTAGGAAGGCATAGCAGATCCTGGATTGCGCATACCAGCGAAACATGGAATTGATAGCTTCAGAAAGTTCGGCGCTGGAACTTTTATCAATACAGCAAGTATCGATCCAGACGTAGTGATAACCATCCTTGACTGCTTGCAAGCAGGCATAATCGATTTTGCTGTAGCCTGGATGTTTCTCAGATGTGCCGTTTTTCATATCTTGAAAGATGACTTCTGCATCCCCCCAAGTGTGTGATAGTATGGCGTATGATGGTGGATCACGGAGGTGAAAGAACTCTTCAAGTTGTCGGGTCTCGACATTGAGGAGACGCATCTTTGCTGACCTGAGTGATATGGCAACTTCCCATCAAGATCAGGGAGGAGCCATAGTCCGAGAACACGAAGAGAAAGCAGTATTCCCTGGACTTTCAATCTCAACTAGAACCGTATTGCTGTAGCGATTGATAAAGCTAAATCCATGAAATGAGATGGTGTTTCTTTTATCGAAGAATTGAAGTATATACACATCACGTGTCGCTGAGTAGATTTGGCATAGCTTTTGAGGAAATGGTAAGCTCTTTGACTGAATACTAACAAGAAGTAAATGACTTACGAAGAAACAGCCGATAGTTCTCTGGAATATCTTTGTAGTCGATGTCGACGCGAAAGCTCCAAGGTAGTGTCCAGCTAAGTGGAAAACTTCTCGTGCTCGATGTTTGACAGATTGCTGCGATCATAGTTCTGCCGCCTTTGCATCTTAAATGGAGCGACGGGAGTAACCATGGCCTAACTCTTGCTCAGAAATGTCTTTTTGACTGTTGGCTATTTCTACGTAAGTGAAAGACAAGATGTTTCCTGTTCTCACCTATGTCCCAAAATGATACACCGAGTTTCCCCATATGAGGCACGTGATCCAACACCAACAGGCCTGGGGTATCTCTGCATATTGCACACCCATGATAGCCGTAAACTGCTTTGTTCCCGAGTCGATTCACAAGAGAAGTAGAGTGCTGAAATACTTACGCTGGGCGCAAAAAGTGCCAAAAGACTTTTACATTGCTGTACTCTCGAAATCCATAATGAGTTTTCGCTCTGAAAAGCAGTCAAACACCCTAATGAGGAAAGATATTAATAAACATGAAGGATGACATGAAGAGTGCAACGAGTGTTCATTAGAACAGCAAATAGCTGTAAGCTGCTGTGTATGAGTGTTCGGATAGTGTGAAGGTAAAGCATTTGATACTAGTAGTGACGCGCATGGTATAGAGAATTGAGACTTTCATCTCTTTGTCACGTATTCTCACAAATTAGGCATTTCAATATTGAGACTTTGATAGATAAAAGATAACTTCTAAGACAAACCGTCTCCAACTTGGAAAAGCACAAGCCTTCATGACATCAAGTAGACAAGTGAAATAACATACCTCATATATCAACTCACTATAAAAAATATTTTGAAAATCCAACCGTCAGAACTTCAATCTAGACACGGACTTGTGAAACGCACTTGGAATCTGACCAACAGAGCGGGATGATCTCACCTGCGCATCGGATCGAGTTACAATCCTATTCCAGACTCTAATTCGACGTCTGTAACAAAAATACGAACTCGTCGTATCTCCTAATTTCTTAGGTACAAGCTAATTTTCGATAGCGCATCGTCGCATGTCATGAGCACATTCGAGTCGTCCAACCTCCGCAGAAGCTATTCACGCGAACCGTCGTCATGGATGAGTTGGTGTGGGGGACTAGACTGGACTGGCTCTTGCCGTTGAGGACGTTGGACACCGCCATGAATTTTGTTGCTTGGAATTCTGTTACTGAACTGTATCTCAGATATTGCTAGGTGTAATTAAATTTTTTTTGGCTAGAGGCTGGAGATTGGCAGTTGCCTAGTTATTCATGAGTCGGTGAGAATAAGTAGTTGAAACCCTTCTCTTTGGCGAAGAAGCATACGATCATATCTCTGAGATGTAGTCGGCTGATAGAAAACGCTCACCTTTCTCCAGGTTTGAGGACCATGCATCGTCATCCGTCATCCCACCAAAATGCGCAGGATGCCGGGCGCCGTGGGATTGCGCTCCCGCTGCATGACCATCAACACGGCAGCTTCGGATGCCCAAAAGCTGGGAACAGCTCATCGATGTGGCTGGAAAGCACCGTGTGGTGGACTTGGCTGGCTGGATCTGGTGGATGGTTGGCTTCACGCCATTCCGCATATCCAGGTAGGAAGCGGAAGATGAGCCACATGTACACCTGAGCATGAAGAACCTGCTTGCACTTGAGGCTTTTGTACTGATTAATGGGAAGAGTGCATTGAAATTTTAAGACTTCGGGAGATGGGTTCAAACGGGCTTGAGTGAAATCTGGCGACATGTTAAGAGTGTGCATTGGTGTGCCTGTCCAATATTGTACTTTGATGCTCAAAATGGTAGCTGCGAGATGAGGATGGTACGAAATAGGTGACACGGAAGAAGTCACACTTCCTGTGTATGCATGCAAGAGATATTTCTGGTATAGCGTGGCAATCCGACTAAGCGAAGACAAGAAAGTTACGAAGTAACACGTTTTTTTACAAGTCCTTTCAATCATGGCGGTGAAGTACTTGAATGTAAAAGTCTGGCTGTTTGGACTGTTAATATGATATGGTCCTGTGGGTTGTCTTTGGCAAAAATGGATGCGTTGGCGAGAATAATGAGTCGTGGATGAATGGAGCAATTGCCCCTGGCAGCACCTGCACCATTCCCCGAGTCGTCCGCTTCCACGTCTGATATCTCGTCTTAAACTCTGGAGCAGCACTGGGTGGCAAGTCTTGTGGTTTAGTAGTATTTGAGCTACTTCTGAGTAGCCTTCTCAGTAGCCTTCTTGGTTGTACCGTAGTGTAACTTGTTCGAGTCTGTATGAGTGTTGCGTGTATCAAAAGTGATGATGTTCTTCGTGCATCATTCAGGGACCAAGCCCACGGGCAGATCATCGATGAAATATTGCCGGGAAATCGTTTAGTACCCAATGCAAACTAGCTCAAGATGTACGCTCGCACTAATATACACATAGTAGCGCTTTCCTGCCTCTTTCCAAGATCTAACCCAATCACGCCTCACCATTGGCCCCCACTACGGTCGCCGCTAACCAAAGGCGGCAATCTCCCTCACCAACTACCACACCATCAACTCTTGGTGCGACCGAAGCCAGCATACAATTACGACGCTCCACTTTTTTCGACATCTGCCCTCCGGCCATCCTGCCCTGCTTTCCTTTATCATCCACGACCTCCCCTCCAACATTCGTTTACGGAGACTTTGCGACCCGGCCCACCAGAGGAGGACATCTGTAGTGTTACAGTCTTACAGACCGCATTTCGACATCAGCTTACCTTCGCTGCACCAGAAATTCTCTTCACGTCCATCTAACGGAGCATGTGTTGAGGGTTGTGCCTGTGAAGAATTTCCGACGCTCCCGCGCGGTACAGCAACAATACGAGCCGGACCCCGGAGCTTCAGGAACACACCTCTCTCGCGAACCGACGAAACATCTCGAGTCGAAAATTCTGTCATTGATCATCAACGAGTACTCATCTGGATTGTCGCTTTGGCTGCAATAAACGGGGACGAAACCGGTGAAAGGGAGCAACGAAGACGAGTGCCTTTGGAGACCGGGCAGGCTCGAAACGACCACCCAACTCGGCACGTCACCACTCAGTCGATCGTCACAACAACGAGGGATTTCCCAATTTCGTGACCTCACTCCGTCGCATCGAGACACGAAAATCGCGATACGAGGGCTCTGCCCATCCCTCAGTCTTTCCTATCTTCGAATTACCATAAATAATAATTATTTCCGCAACAATGGCACGATTTGCTTCCGCATCCTGGGCAACGGCCTTGGTCTCGTGCCTCGCCATCATCAATACCATAATACCATCCGTTGCAGCGCAGGACACGCGAACGATATCTGGCACCAATGCAGACGGCGTCACTCAGACACTATTGGTAGACCGTACGCCAGCACTGTTTACTGGAGACTTTGGAGATTGTATGGGAGGGAACAGCTTGATGAACATCACGTCTTTCGACGCAGCCTACTATGCCGATAACATGACGGTGCTGTTCAATTTGGCGGGAACCAGTAACTTGTTGAATCAATCCTTGATGTGTATGCTTTCTCTACGCATTTCATCAAATGTTTTGGCTGACTCTCAATAGTGCACATCTCAGTCCAAGCTTATGGAGAAGACCGTTTCGATTTCCTCTGGAACCCTTGCAATGCAAACTTTGCTAGGTGAGCTTCATGCAGAAACTTGGAAAACCCAGTATCCTAATCATTACTAGTCTTTGCCCCCTCAATGCCAGTGTCCCTATCTTTGGACAGGCTAGTATTCCTGTTTCCACGCAAGATGTGTCTGCTATTCCCAATATCGCTTTAGCAATTCCCGACTTTGAAGGATCTGCCGTTCTGCGACTATTCTCAAATTCCTCACAAACGCAAATTGCATGCTTCAATGCTGTCATGAGGAACGGAGCCAGTTTCTCACATCCAGCCGCAGTAGGGTCCGCTCTTGGTGTTTTCACACTTTTTGCACTCATAGCATCCTTCTTCACGGCTATCTATGGTGTCAGCGTTCCACATATTCGAACGCACTACGCTCACTCCCTCTCCGTATTAGTTATCTTCGAAGTTTTCCATTCAATATTCTTCTCTGGAGCACTGTCACTCAGCTTCCCAAGCGTTCTTCCCGCTTTCTGGTCTAATTTCGCCTGGTCGGCAGGGATGATCTACACGGATAGCATTATCAAATCACTGAATGGTTTTACAGGCATATCTGGGAATTCCAGTCAAGTTGGTGGAGCAGGATCTGTCACATTGAGTACCAGTGGAGGTTTAACACAGCAGATTTACGGACGCTCCATCAGCGGAACAGCTGGTTCAGCACTCGTGGAAAGAGGAGAAGAACTTGCGTCACACATCTACAAGCGAGCGATTAACGAAACGGAAAACGCTAAGCTGTACGACTGGGCAGGTGTTCCCGTTTCCCCTGGTCTTCCATTACCGGGAGACTGGACGGGATTTCCAGGGACTCTTGCACAGGTCGATATTCCCGCGGCGGATGCTTTCATGGTTGGCTTTCTCTGGCTGCTCATTTTGATTGCCATTCTTGTCGGCGCTGTGGTCGCATTCAAGTGGATTCTCGAGGGCTTGAGCGCCATCAAATTCATCAAACAGGATCGTCTCGCTCTTTTCAGAAGTCATTGGCTCGGATTCCTTGGACTTGTCGTCCTTCGAACGCTCTTTATCGCCTTCTTCATGATCATGACCCTCTGCCTCTACCAATTTTCTTACGGAGGAAAAGCTGGGCCCATCGCCATCGCCGCCATTGTGTTCCTGATCTTCTTCGTAGGCACACTCGGTGTTTCTGCTTATGCCTGCTTCTACCGAGCGAAATTCAGCAAATTGGACAACGCTCCAGCGCGGGTTGAACAACCGCAACGTAAAAAGAAGTCGAAATGGTACAGATCTGCCAAGTCATCCAGCACTGATGACGGATCGAAGAGTGGGTCAGAAGGTTCACTATTCGGTCTTAATTTTTTAGGAAGGGATGCTGAAAAAGAGAGTGTTCACGATGACACAAACTACAGCAAACGCTTTGGGTGGCTCACAGCTCGCTACAGACGTTCAAGATGGTGGTTCTTTGCCTTCTGGGTCGTGTATCAATTCGTCCGAGCTTGTTTCGTTGGTGGTGCTCGTGGCAGCCCAATGGCACAGGTTATTGGCTTATTCGCCTGGGAGCTGATTTCCTTTGCCGTCATTGTCAAAATCAATCCATTCGAAGGATCTCGAAACACCGCACTCGCAGTTTGGATGCTTGGTATCAGTAAAGTTGCCACTGCAGGACTATCGATCGCTTTCTTACCCAACTTCAAAGTTGCCCGAATTCCAACTACTGTAATTGGTGTCATCATCATTGTCATTCAGGGATTCTTGGTCATTGGTGTTCTTATTTTGATGGTTTTGGGCTTCATATCAAGTTACATGTCGGTCATGCGCAACCGCGAGGAATTTAGACCTAAGGGCCTTGCGAACGTTCGCCTCAAGTACTTTGGTCATCTTGAGCAGAAAGCCACTGGTCTGCCACCGCCACCTCCACCGGAACCAGAGGAGCCTAAAGAACCATACTTTAGCGTCAAAACGGTTCGCCGAGCGCCAAAGATCGAGGACGAAGATGTGGATGACTTTGTCCCAGATATGGAAGACCAACATCCAACCGTGTCTCAATTCTCGTTCAACAACCGAACAAGCCGAGCCAACAGTCTTGCAAATAGTACACGAAGCCATGGATCTGTGTATGGAAATGTTCCTTATGGTGCTCGTGTCCACCGTGCGAGTTGGAGTTCCAGGGAGTTCCAGAACTTCAATCCAGATGAGTTGAGAAGGGGGGATTCGCCTCTCGAGACACCACCAAGGGTGTCAAGTGCTCACCATACGGCAAACAATTCGGTATCGAGGACCCCTCTTATGCGACCTGTTCGTTCGCAGAGTAGTCTTCGTCAAGCTACCAATTCCCCGCCTCAAGGCAGGTAGCTTGTGCAATGCAAACCCAAAAATTTCACGAAGTTATGACTGGAGGGGGTAATTTGTGGGTGGTAGAAGATCGTTACACCCAAGAAGTTCGCGGAAACGTCCTCCTGTGCGGCTTATAGGCGTTTCATATGTCATCCTATCAGCTACTCTTACGCTGTTTTGTGTTGGGCATAGACTGGTATTCACATTACATTATTGCATAGAGGCATGTCACATTACTAGAGACACCTCCTTATTTTGACGGAGCATTTGGAGGGTATGGCATGGCGTTCTGGTAACAGCTCGTACATACTGCTTGTAAGCTTCGGCTTCTACTGAGTTTTGTGCATTGAGTAGTTAGTACGCTCTCAACAATAAGATTCTTCTAACAAAGCCATCTCTTTTACTGTGACAAACGCGCTTTTCGGGGTAAGTAAGTCGTCTCAATCTGGGAACATGTCTTGTGTTTCTGCTACTATGTATGATCCGGGTTCCCTGGAGTGTCTGAGCATCAAGAACTCCTCAGTCAGTGTTATGCTGGCCTAGCTTGGTGTTTAGAGGTATATCAAGCATTGTGGTTATCTTCAGGTCAGTTCCTCCTCCCTTTACGGGGGGACCAAGCTTATGTTCCAACGCGGTGCTGTGGTCAGTTCAAACTCACTGTCATGACCGTTTCGAAGACTCCGGCCCCGAAAGAGAGCCTTTCAAAAGATGACATATTAGCATGAGCGACACCTGGCAATCCTTGTATCAGCGCCGAATCCATGGCAGCAAACCTGGGATCTGGAAGCCGCATACAAACGGTGTACACGTGATCGTGCCGTGGTTCTTTCCTCCTCGCCATCTATCAAGACCTCACCTTTCTCGACGCGTCACGTCCTCGTCCATCTAGTACTTCTTCGCGTCCAAGAGTTCTTCGAGAGACGTGTTCCTATGTACCCAGAGTCAACGCATCTGGATTCGACTTGTTTATATTACTTTCGTGATTTCAAAGTCTTCTTTCTATTCCATCAATTCTTTTAGAGGGCTTCCAGTTATTTTGAACGTTGAAAACCGCTTTTCAACGCGTGCAATAGGTGTTCATCATGTTCTACAGTCATGAGAGTAAGTTGTCGTGTGGACATTCTATAGGGGAAATCTACTGACGCTTTGTAGTTCTGACAAATCGCAAGTATGGTATCGCAACTATATGGTAAGACCTCTTCATCAAGCAACGCATCGAGCCTAGAAAAGTTCGAGGCCATCTTGATTGTCTATATGAAAGCTTCTTTTATATCAACTAAACTTCTCTAGGCTGGTCGCGACTCTGGGTTCTAAGTCAAATACGAAGAAATTGACCCGAAAGGCAATCTGCGATGTCAACCTTAAAAAAGCATGCAGTACCATCAGCGAGCCGGAAGCACCTATGGCCCTGCGTCTTCAAAGTAATCTCCTGTAAGCACCAAACCCCCTCTTTCACGATGGCATTTTTGACGCGTCTAGATATGGCGTTGTCCGAGTCTACTCTCAACAGTGCGACTATGTTCTACAAGATGCTCAAGCTGCTCAAGCAACCATTCGCACTTTGTTCAAGGTGTCCAAAACTAGCAATCTTGACTCAACGGCTTCTAACGCAAAGTAAGTACATCTTCAGTATATGAACGCTATCACTAACATATCCCAGACGCGATCAAATTATGGTGTTGGATGATCCTGCTTTCCTTCCCGAACTTGAGCTCCCGCCGCTGCAAGATTTCGAATCTCTGGCCTCCAATTTCAACAAAAGCTCCCAACGGTCATCACAATCTATGATGTCTATCGATCGTGAGCGGGGTAGCTCGGTATCGTCAATGAGTGTTGCGGCTCTTGAGTTTCCATCATCAAGTCGTAACAGCATGCTATCATATCAGCTACCAAACAACGATCCTTTCGCTCTATCTTCTGCACACAAGCCAATCATTGGTGAGGACTGTGGAACAAATGACGAAGAACTCTTGTTGTACGATGATGCCGCATTCGAATTCGATGATGAGGGTAATTTACGAGACATCTCTCCTGCGGAGATTAATGTCCGCCAGATTGATAAAGGCGTGGCTGCACGGAATCGATTGAGTAGCTCTGCAGCTAGTGACCGTGTTCGAGCTGATCATGCAATTGGCAATTTTGAAGTCCCGGATTTTGGCGGAGATGATTACGGGATTCAATATGGACGGGATGAGGAGTTGCCAGACGCAGAGCCATTCTCGCAATTAGGCGCACATAACGAAGGTCCATTCATGAGTGGAGGCTTACAACAAGACGATCAACCTCTACACATGAATACACCCGATCTCGTGTCTGATCATCCGTCTGGAAAGCACTCTTCTGAAGACCCCAGCTTTGAAAGCGCCGAAGCTCCTAGTAAGCGAAGAAGGATCACAAAAAAGAAGAAGAATCTGGTGGACTCGACACTCGCCTTGACAAACAATGATTTGCGAAGGTTTAAAGACAATTATCTTGCAACCATGGCTGCTTCAATACAACATAGCAACGTGTACAAAGCAGCTTTCCAAGCGAGAAAGAATGCTCAACATCTTGTGTTTGGTACAGGTATCATGGGTGTGGGGAATGGGTTGGGATCTTTCTCTATACTCAGCCCGCTTCAGTCATTTGCTGGAGATGTTCTTAAGGCTAAGATCACTGGAACGGCAGTACCTAGCTCTCTTAAGCGAAACAGAGAGGCAGAGAAGCCTAACCAAGACAGCCACTCCCCTAAGCGAGCTCGAGGAGAAGATGAAGTTGGTCGTGGATATGAAGATGAAGTGCTTCTCAATTTTGACGAGGATATGCCAGAAGAAGGTCGTAGCAGTAGTGGTGTAGAGATGGGAAGAGATGCTCCGTCTGCTCTCCCAGATTTCCCATCTTCAGCTATGCCGTGGAATGTTTCTGCTTCCGTTCATTCGCACCAGCGCGGTCTTTCTTCTAGAAAGCCAGGTTCAATGCTTTCGGTAAGTGCTTGTCAAACTACATAACACCGTCACATATGCTAATTATATTTGTTAGGGCGGCCGAAGACCAATGTCACAATCCCCTCTCATCGGTCGTGGCTCCAATCTTCCAGGAAATCTTGACCACCTCTCCCTACTCAACGACGAAGATACGATTTTCTACGGCCGCGAGGACGACTTCCAAAGCATATCCGGCCATTCTCAACCAAACTTCGGTCTTCCCAGCTCCTCCCGCGCCGTCTCCAATCCACCCAACCCCGACGACTTTGAGCTCTTCGGCCCGGCAGCAGCAGTCGACACGCAAACTGCCGGAACCTCTCAATGGGTTCGTCAAGCTCTCGACAACGAAAGTCACAATTTCTTAGAGTATGTTCGGAATAGTGTTGATGAGAAAACAGGTGATGAGCTTGCGGGGATCGGGACTGAGAAACCATTTGTGACGTTCGAACAGCTTTTCGAGGTTCAGATGCATTCGAAGGTTGTAGCTGCGCAGGCGTTCTATCATGTGCTTACGTTGGCTACGAGGGGGAGTGTGTGGGTTAGTCAGGGGAGAGAGGAGATGGGTGGGGAGATTAGAGTTGGTGTTAGTGTTTGAGAGGCTATGTTTCTGTGAATGTTTGAGGATTTGCAAAAATGATATCGTGTGTGGAGGTATGACATGGCTGTAGAAGTCTGATGTGGATGGATGTGTAAGATTTTGTTCAACAGATGGATAGTGGTAAAGGTATGCGTTTTGCCACATAGAGGTTGCATATATATATTGCTTGGGGATATCAAAGAAGGACAATAGAATTAGCTAGATGGGTGATTTGCTATATCTGGCGTTTGAAGAAGGGGGAATGTAGAAGTAGTTTTATCATTTCAACGTGCTACGTAAAGTATCAAATTCTTTTTTAGAAGCCTTCTGCACATCCGGTTACCAATACATATCCCAAGGACCTCCCATCCTCAATCCCAAGACCAAAAAGGAATTACCCTGCTCAGCACCAATTACCATCGATATTCCAAACACGTCAACTGAGTTCCTAACAATCAACCCCTCCGTAATCCACATCCATAACGCTATCGGCCCCTTGAATCACTCTCGCCACCATCCCGAACATCGGGCCCGAAACGTCGGTGTCGAATGATAGTACTAAGGATAGTAGGTATAAAGGAAACTGATATCTACTGTCTTCATCTAGTTTGTATATCTGATTTTTGAGATTCTTTTGCGTATATCTTGTCTTGTATGACTAGAACCCCATTGATCATCTATTGTTTTGGTGTTGTGTGATGTAAAACGTGTATTTCTTTTATAATTTATAGGGTTTCGGGGGTTTGGGTTTTGGGAATGTGGACGATATACGTTGGTCGATATGAACTTGGGTATGCGAAACGAGCTTTAGCGTCGAGACTCCTATTGAGCGAGCTCTAGACCCGGATTTTCGTTGAAGGCTTCGCGGTTTGTAGTGGGTGGGAAAAGGGTTAATGCCGAGATTATTGGAATGGATTGTGCAGGATTTTTGGGGTTGCCTGCCAGAATGAGATGACTGGTTTGGAGAAATTGAAATTCGACAGATCTAAAACTTATGGTGTATATCTCCCCCCCATCACTTCAACCCTCTAACCCAATCCCGAGAAAGATGAAAAAAAGAATAAACATTTAAAACCCCCCCTCAGCCGTCCTAGTCTCCCCCCACTAATATATCCACCCCAACTCAATCGAAAAAACCGCTTCACCGATACACCACCTAATACTCAACGCTAACCGGTCCCCCCTCCCCGAAACAACTCTCGGGCAACTCTTCCCGATCCATCAACCCCAACGCAACCACATCCCCCCAAAAGAAAAGCGCCCGATGCTGCGCATAAGCCAGGTAATCAAACTCATCCTCCTCGCCGCCCTCAAGCTCACTCTCGATCCTCTCCTCCGACTCTCCATTCTTCAACGCCTCGGCATGAAGACCCTCTGGCCGTTTCTCAGCGACGAGACTATTCTTCTGACTCGGATCCGCCAACGGCGCAGGTGAGGCGACGAGTTCGTTCGTGTCCGTGACCGTCTCAGGACTTCCCGGGTCGGAGTCTTTGTTGTCGAGTTCTGGGACGGTGGCTTGCACGATGCCCCACGCAACCCATTGAGCCGAGTTGGCGAGACGCCAGATACGTGTTTCTTCTAGGAGGGCGGTGACTTGACGTTCGATCTCGGCTTCGCGTTTGCGTTCTTCTTCCGCGTAGTAGCTGGTGTCGTCTGATCTGAGGTTCAAGGAGGAGGTGCTGCCAATGCTGGAGGGAGGACGTGGGTAGGAGGATCCTGTCTCGTCTATGCCATTTTTGATTGAGCCGTTGCTGCTGCCACCGGGAGCGCGAGAGTCAAGAAGGAATTCATTAACGCCGCCGCGCATGGCGGATGTGGTGCCATCGAGGGGGAGGAGTTTAGGGGTTGCTGAGGCGCGAGGATTGAATTGTGGGCGATGATTGACGTATGAACGGATGAAATCACGTTGCTGTTCTAGGGTTGGGTAGCGGGATGTTTCGCATGCCCAAGGTCGCTTTGGGTCGTGGTAATTGTAACACCATTCTGTAAAGTGGTTGGCAAATTCTAACCCAGGAGTATTGGCGGAAGCATATTCAAAGTCGATAACTATAAGTTGTTTATGATGATTCGCGGGTAGGAGGAGCGGGGATGGTGGTGGGTAGCTTCCATCTGAGGTAGGGGTTGGTGCTGGTGGTGGAATAAGACGCAGGATGTTGCCATATTGAGTCTAAAAGAGTCAGTTGCACAAATCTGAAAATGGAAAAAAAGCAACTTACATCATTATGAGCAAACACAAGACGGTTTTCTACCCCTCCCTTCTTCTTATAATACTCATCCAACCACTTCCTATACTTATCAACCGCAGCCTTGAATACCTTCCACCCAACACCACAAATCAATCCTCGTTCGCGCCATGCCTCTTTCCCCTTTCGTTGACTCAAGATTTCGCTGTCTAGATAAGTGATCACTTCTTCGCATCTATCAACCCATTTATCCCAGTTCCTCCAAACAAACGGCCCTTCTTCTCTTTCGCGCTCTAGAAGATCAATACCTTCATGCAACTCTCTCATTCGCTTGGCAATTTGCTTGCTTGTATCTTTGACTCTTAGATCCTCGAATTTCAACGTTGTGGCATTAAAGTACTCCTCGAATCTGCCGTTTCTAAACGTCCCCAGCATTCTCGGGCCAATTCTCTTGCGCGATAATCTCTTCAAGATCTCAAGCTCATTCTCGCGATCGATAAGATGTTCAACTTGTGGACCGTAGATTCGAAGTAAAAGCTTTGGTGGAGGTTTCGAAGAATGCGCCTTAGATCCATTCTCGATGTTCTGAGGCTGTGAGATTCCTGGTGGAGGCGAAACAACATAGACAGCATTTGTGAGAGCACCGCTCAACCTTTCAACTTCGATTTCTCCTCCTCGCTCGAGAGCCACCTTTCTCCACCCTTTCAATCGAAGCGTATGTGCCAGCCTAACAATCTCACTCTTGAACTGTAACCAATGTTTCCTCTCCTTCTCCGCGCGCTTTGAAGTGCTCAGTGTCACAGTTGTGTCGCTCGACTCGGCTACCCCTCCACCTGAATACGACATCGTCTTGGAATTATCCAGCACAACGTCGCAAGAAGGAACAACCACATCGCCCTCATGATACTCCGTATCCGAGCTGTAAGCTCTCCTCAATGATCCCCTCCTTCTACCAAGAGTACTCGGTCTCCTAGTCGGACTTGCCAGCGGCAGACTATCCAGGCCAAAAGAGCTCATATTATCCTCCAAAATCTTCTGTAGTCGGTCCAAGGAAATGTTAGACGCATCAGAGTCCATACTCGATGTTCTTGGTCGAGCGCTCGAGCTGGAAGGTCCACCGCCGGCACCTTCTCTGGTCGCAGCCGCAGAATCACCATCTCCCGCTCTCTCTTTCGATTTCTTCGCCGCTCTTTTCGCTTTCTCGGATTCGAGCCAGCCGACCACGTCGCTCAAAAGTTTATCACGATGCTTGTCCTCTCCTTTGTGTCCATGATCTCTATGATGTACATGCAATCCATGTCCTTCCCTGTGTAATCCATGAAGGCGATGGTGTCTCTTCTCCTTCTCCTCATCTTTCCCGTTCACGCCGCCTTTGTTCGCATCGCTATCGTCAATACTACTCTGGCTCGCCAGACTCAATCGCGAAGAATTGCTCGATAGCATGTTGACCCGTCCACTAAGTCTTCTGGAGGACAGGTTTGCTGGGAATTGCTTGATGCCACGGGCGTCTTCTGTGGCTGGGAGAGGTGGGAGAGGTGGGATGGGCTCTGGATCGCCTTCTGCAATTGAGACGACTGTTTGTCGTTAGTGTGTTGGCTCAGTTTGCAGTATGAGAAAAGGTATGGGTGATTCGGGTGATGCAAAGATCGATTTCACGTTGGTAGATGAATGCGATCTGGACCCCGCACTAAAGCACCACGATATATGTTGCAAAACAGAAGTGAATGAAGATGTTCCCCTAGGTAGAATTGGCTTACCTTTAGGACCACTTCTAGGACTCATATTCCCATCCTCACTCTCCTCATTCTTGAGCGCCGGTCTCAATGGTATTCCCTCTGTTGAAGACATTTTGACAACTATCTTTTGTTTTTCCTCGTCCAGTCTCTGGTTCACTTCCTCTTGCTCTACCCAGCTCCGGGGTTGTCTCGGGCAGACACGTATTGAGAAGCAGAATTATCTGTCCGTCTGCCCAGGCAATCAATTGCTATCCTGTGCAGAGACAGCAACAGCACTTTTGTCTATTTCCTAAAGGACAATCTTCCCAGCCCACGTGCGCAACGCCTCGACAGTGCTCTCTCGTCTGAAGTATATAATTCGAACCCAACAACAAATAAATAAACTGCTCGATGAATAACAACAAACTACAGTACCAGATATTGGGATATCAAAAACATGTTTCGATACTTGATCGAGACGCACCGCGCACCAAAAAACTTGTCATCGTTCAACAAAGGGTTCAAGGCAGCCCGATCAAGCAGCTGTCAAGAAATGACATCGGTGTGGATCCTTGTTGGCCAGTCGGGTACGGCAGTAGAGCTATGCCGACAGGGTCCCCGAATCAAGACAGATACCCGACACACGTGACGTAGCACAGCCACAATTCGAGGGGCAGCGGGACCCTCACCGATCCCGTCACATGCCCAGGTGCAAGTTAAGATGGGGATGGAGATTGGATATCAGAACTGCACCAGTGGGTGACACAATTCTCTGCGCACCTAAGAACTTCGAAAAGAGATAACTCAGCACAATAGCCAGATATCGTATTTCTGGTAACATATATTTGTTCGCGAGGCTTAGGACTACTAATAGATCGAAAAATTATTACGATTAGATGTTATCCCGTCGTTAAAATATTACTTATAGTTTCTGGCTGCGCAGAGAGTTATGTCACCCCCTGGTGCTGCGTTGAGTAAAGCAGAAGCAGAGTTCGGGGAACCAATGGGAAGAGTTCAACGCGTACACAGAGAGGACGTGTACATATTGGAAGCGAGGATGTAGTCTGAGCCTCTTCTTTTCTATTTCATTCAGATCTGACTACGGCAATTTCCCTGTTCGTCAACTATACACCATTCCTCATCAAACTCAATCCCGTCTGCTCTCATCATATCCTCGACCCTCATTTGCCTACATTCTCCCCGTTTTCATTTCTCTTCGTTGGAACATAAGAAAAATCATCGTATGTATATCATTGTCATCATAGCGCCCAGAGCGGAGCTCGAAGTCTCCCGCAATTCATCAGTATGTGTTCCTTCCTTCCTTCCCCGTCTGAGATAATAAAATCCCCTGGCCCGCTTTGTTGGTATCAAATTTGAATGCCCTCCGTGCAACAGCCGTGCAACATAAGCAGCACATACAGAATTTTATCCTCGCATGATATAAAATTGATCTGGCTGCGTGTTCCATGCAATTCTCCATTACATCTCCTTCAGCAGCCCGCTTCATTCGCGCATTCCCATTACCGGAGTGGACTCGCAGCCGGGCTGACGCTGTCCAACGGGGCGGCATGAAGAGCAGGCTTGACTCCAAAGCCCATGAGGCCCTTTTTCTTCCGGTCAATCGCATTTTTGACCCAAGCTGCAACCTCTTCGTCCTCGGTACCACTCGATGCAAGTGGAATATCACCAACGCTAGCGCCAGCTTCAGCGGCTTCTTCGTCCTCCTCGCTAATTGTAGCTGGCTTTGAAAGCTCCGCAAGCCAACCATGCTGAAGTAGCATGCTGTAGGTTGGCCGTAAATTTGGAATCTTGTTGAGACAGCCGCTAACGAAATCGCGAGCCATCTCCGAATAGCCCTCTTCAGGGAGATCTGGAGGAGCACCATCGACAATTGCCTAGAAAAGTCAGCGAGATCCGCCAAACAAGTGGATTACACTTACACTAAGTTGTGAGAAGATGTTGTTGTAGGTTTCTGGAGGATAAGGATATCTACCCATCGCACATTCAATGATAGTAAGACCCAGGGACCAGATATCAGACTGAACGCTATAGGTCCCTCCACCTGGAGCACCTGCCTGTGACATTCCACCACCCGAAATCCGTTCAGGGGCCATGTATGACTGACAACCAATATTCGTCTTGGCGATACTTGCAACTAAGTTACCTGAGACTCCGAAGTCACAAATCTTGATCTGCCCTCTGGTGTTCATCAGGATATTGGTTGGCTTCACATCTCTATGGATGATGTTGTGGTCGTCTTTTAGGGTCCTCAGACCTTGCGTCGTGCAGTATGTGATTTTCCGGAGGATGTTTTCGGGAATGCCGTCACCGTAAATCTTGTCAATCGATCCACCATCCATGAACTCTATGCAAATGTAAACGGCACCTTCCTGGAAGAATGCTCCGTAGAAATCGATAATGTATGGACTCAGACACTTATGTAGAATTTCCAGTTCCATGATAATCTGCCGGAATTTCGCATCATCAAGTTCCAGTCTGATTTCTTTCATGGCCATAACAATTCCCGTAGTTGCACCCTTTGGTGACGATAGCTCTGAGCTGTCGCCCTCCAACACTGGGGTAGAGGGAACGGACGCAGAAGATACTTTGTTTCCAGCTAGACCCATACCCGGCCGGCGCATTCGAGGTCTCGCATGTCTAACCTTGTACACGGTACCATAGTTGCCCTTGCCTAACTCATCTAAGGTGTCAACCTCATCCAACGATATGTCGATGTTATGTCCCCCGTGAAATTTGATGCCTTTGCCGTCAATTGTAGCCTGTCCATCAAACTTCAAAATTCCATTTTCGGTATCGACATATTCCGAGAACTTGGTGAACCCAGTCTCAGGTTTTGCTGGTGGGCCACTTGCTCCATTTGTAGGGGTGGTCGGAGAAGGAGACCCAGGAAGACCGCCAGGCAGCTTCATGCCTCTTCTAGCACTCAACCCGCCTTTCGCAGGTAATTTTGGCACTACTGGAGCCGAATTGAAGTTGTGAGCAGCCGGACGCATATTCGGAGGTAGCTGCAGCCCAGCGGGAAGACCACCAACTGGCCCGCCTCCCAACGGGGCGTTGAGAGCGGGAGGACTTGGTGTTGAGCCTGTGGTCATCGTCGTACCGATCTGCGGCCGACTTGGTGGCGTGCCTTGTCTAGATAGATGAAATGCTCGCATTTTTGCCTCTAATCCTCCGCCTGTCGAACTCGTTTGTCTGGTGTTGAGAGGTCCCGGGGCGGGCCGCCGAGCGTTCTGTAGCATGCCCAGATGTGTCGAGGAGGATGACATCGGTGCGGTTCCCTGCTGGTCTGGTATGCTTTTTAACGAAGGCACTCGTGTATTGCTTGCCGATTCATTTGGAGAGGCAGGAGGCGAGGCCCCGGATTCAGTGGAAGGGTCGGACGATAGGGTCGTGGGAGCTGCGAAGTCCTTGGCTTCGACGGAGCTGTCGGGTATGCCAGACGGCGGAGTAGCCATTTTGTAACTGTAAAGATCGCAGGCGCAAGGTGGGGTATTCAGAAGTGGACGAGACCGTCTGCGATTTGTATGAAGAAATCCGCAAAGGATGGGTGTTTATTGAGGCTGGTTTGCGTGCTATCCGCGTTCGTATAGAACACAATCAGTAGCGCAATCGAGTTCTTGGGGCCTCTACTGCGAGTTGGCTGCCGAGATCAAGCGTAGAGGCGTCTGGATCGAGACGCAACTTCAACGGAACGAAAGCGCGCGGGAGTTTCCTTCTGCTGACCAAGCGCGTACAGTACGGGCGGTAGGCAAGTCTCGTAATCGTGGGTGTCGATGAATTGGAAGCACGTTCAAAGTGGCGTGAATAGCTTCACTTAAGAAGTAGTTGCCAGAGACTGTCTGTCACCAAGAACGTAACCAAAATAATTCGAGACCAGGTGTGGGAGGTACAATGACGTTACTGAGTCGAGGCGTGCATCTCTCCAACGATTTCAAGGGGCCAGGAAGCAGAGGTGTGGAGTGGGCAGCAAGGGACCAGGGGGCGGTGGACCCCGGAGGCCAGGATGGAGAAAGCGGCAGCCAATATTGAGCTCTGTTTGGCCATATGGCACGTGACTTTCTACTGAAATGGAGCAATCTAGCGCTGCTTTTTCCTATGACCACCATACCTGAAATATGTCGCTTGAGTTTCAAGATATGATGTCGAGAACGTGACAACGAGAGTACGGGTACAACGTGGACCCTTTTCCATAGCTGGCACCCGGGTCTCTGATTTGACTGGCAAATTGATGGAGGGTTGTACAATGATACTCTCAACGACGATTTTATCTCTTGAAAGCCACCGTCGGCATGAGATATTATTATTGGAAACATGCACGTTGAAGTTCCCGTACATTCGCTAAGCCCCTCGTCTTGGTCCCGTGAAATGCATTTTGGTTTCTTCCCATTTGAGAGGATTCCCCGTTTTCAGTATCATTTCAGTTCCTGCTAGTCATTGATGATATCCTTCCTAGGTGATTCCTACTAACCCAGTCCCCTACAGACATTTCTGTGGCCGGAAGAGATCCAGTATCCCCCAAATATCAGCCTGAAGGACAGAGAGTTTAAATTGACCAATTCAATGTTTCAACTACACCATATCTCCTACTTCCGGGTCGGATGATGTTTCAATATGCTTCATCTCAGTAGCTGTCACCAAAAATTACATTTCCAATGATCGCCCTCGGTTATCGTGGACATTATGGACGCTCGTAGGATATCGCTCGGTCGAAGCCCTTCTCCCCGAATATGTCGGTCTATTCGGTACTCTCCTTCCAGTGAACTCATTCTTGGGGACTCGATACAAACATTACCGTAGGAAAATACCTACTTTACCTTTCTTCTAGACATATTAAGGTCAATAAACTAATACTCCCGTGTGATTTAGTGGCTAGACTTATTCCTTCTTTCGTTCTCCTTATCGAGTAGACCCAGCAACTCTAAGATGCAGCCAAAGCTACAGTACCGCCAAACACGTAACATCCCATGCCAAGTTGTTTCATCTTGTCTGATTGTTTATACTCCTCGTCTTAATCCTCACCTCCTCATTCTCTCTAGCACAAGCCACTCATCGCGGGGGAAATGGAAGCTTGGTGTGATGACGTCATGTCTGTGGCTGCCCCGGCCCGGCCAGCTCCAGCTGTGCTATTACATGGGGGCCGTGCCTGCAAGTTTTATATTGTGGTGGAGCAGCAAACATGTCATGCTTCTTGACCCTGATTTTGAACTTCCGAGGTTCTATTTTAAAATCTATCACATTATTTGCACCTTGATGTGAGCAACTTTCAAGAACCGTTGAGGGCTTATATGCTTATATGTTCGCTTGCCGTGCCGCCGCTAATAGAGCCGTCCTAAGAGTTAAGACGGAAAGGACCTTTCTAGCTAGATATTTCTAAGTATAAACCTACATTGAAGGAGTAAAGCTGATCAACCGCTTTATGACTTTTGGATACAGGTGACAAAAGCCATCTTGAGGAACTCTAAGCGATCCTCAAGAAAGCTCAATTGAAATTTGAGTCTTGTATTTCCATGAATAGAATGGTGATACCCCAAATTCCAAGGTTATACGGAGTACGATCCTCCAATTCCGCCGTTTAGAACTTACTACAAATGGTGACACAAGATTAGGTATGTTATCCTCGACGGTAGATTAAAAAAACATAGAATTTCGCTCGTGGCATCATATACATCCATTGCATACCTCAGAATTCAAGAGAGAGAGAAAGTCACAATTACTCCTGCTCGGAGGTTGTCTTCTCCTGTACCTAGTCACGTGCAAAGAGTCACGAGGACGAACCAGTCAAGTAAGTAACTTAGGTTAACGACGATGGAACCCAACTTTCACAGAAGCCACATCGATATTACAACAGCCATTCGCCTCTCGATATGTCGCTCTGGAATTTCTTCGGAAGTTTCACCGCAGTCACTCGGCCTTCCGCTGGCGACGAAAGGGAAGCGCAGGCAAATGCATCTCAACTACTCCGTCTCCCTACAGAAATACTCATCCTAATAGCAAGCGGGCTTCCGACCTCGGCTGCTAGCTGTCTTGCACTGTGTAGTCGCCGTCTGAGTCAAATACTTGGACCCGAGATCTGGAGGTCTTTACGAAGTGAGGGACTGTCCGTCAGGCTCGCGTTTTTGACACTGTTAGAGAAAGACCTCCCTCGACATTTCCTATGCCAAAAGTGCAGCAGCCTTCATCAAGTGAGGGCTGTTAAGTGGCCCCGCATACTGTCACATCAATCGTCCCCTCGCTGTACTCGGACGTCGACTTACAGCTCGCTATGTCCATCTCGGTATAAGATGTATTTTCATCACATCCAATTATCGATGAAGCAGCAGCGCTGCAGCATTGATCTCGGGTTGCCTCTTGAGGCTTTCGAACACCTAGAGATTGATCACAATCTGGACAAGCAGCAAATGACTCTCTTGTCTGTGGATGTGCAGAGCGTCTCTAATGAATTTGTGATGCGTTCTCAGAAATGGATACACGTTCCTTGGAGCCGGCGTAGTGATCTCATTAACGACTTGGCCACGCACAATCTTTCTACCATGCATTTGTGTTATCATACGCGATACGAACGTGGTGCTGGGAAGTTGTTGGGGGATCTGGTGGAGCCGTCAAATTGAGAAGCTACAGCATGGAGAAAAGTCTCATACGCACACAATGCAATGCCGTGAATGTTGGATGGACTATATCTTAGAGGCTGTAGATTTTGGGAAGCGAGGTTTTGCCGTGGTTCTTACAAGGTGGAACAACTTTGGAGCTGGCATCGATTCCACAGATATGAAATGGCAAAGCCATATCACTGTGATTGGGCCTCCGCCACGGCATGAGCCTCAGTTACGCTATGAGCCTCACCACGTAGGAGACATCCGTAAAGACTTTGAAAACCAAGCGGCAACGTCAGTGGATGGGCTCACCGAAGACAACAAACGGAAGATGTTTTCATCGAGGAAAAGCCGACTGCTGTGTCAGAGGTCGGATGGCCTGACTTGGAAGTGGTATGGTGGAAACCGATGGTATGTTTCACCTCCGTAGAGTTCCCAAACGATGTTATGAAAATACATGACAGAAGGTTTAGCCAATCTATATGCTGTTTCTGCACTCGGCGACATGTACTTCAGTGAGGCTGCAAATGGTGTTTGTTGCTTTCAGGGTCCCGAAGTTCAACCCGCTGTAGCAAAATATACTTGGCTAGTCTAAGGGACTCTGCTTGAGATATCAGCACCGAGAGAAGAGTGCCAGTGCAACGAAAGATCTAAGTCATCTGTGAAAGAAGTTGGAACTTGGAACCGTTTCAGCGGTGAAGCTTCAAGACAAAGTGTAACTCTGTATCGCAGCTCACCAGACCGTGGTCAGCAAGTTTCGCCGACAAATGTGATGAATTCGTATGGGCTTAATGTACGACGGTGAGATTTTTGCCAGCCAACTCAAACATATTGTAAGGAAAATCTGGGTAGGTCCGGTGGGCGCAATAGGTGATACATGGAACGTGATGTGTATCTCGTGTTTCGTCTATTCTTTTCAGGAATTGAGAGTCTGAGATGGTTAAAGCCTCGGCGACTCGGTATGAAAACGCTTACTGCATGGCTCGCGATACATCATGGAAGTGGACATTATATTCATCCAATCAGTTTAACTCAAAACCGTGTGTTCCGTCGACTCTTCAGAGTAACTAATACCTCGCTGAGCTCTATCTCACGCGTAGTATGATGAACTATTCTGTAGCATCAACACGACAATCTATGCCGATTATCTAGGAGAATAGTTAGCTGGTGGCTGTCAGTGATGCTTTCCACAGTAGCTAAGTCGGCAGGTGGTTGAAAAGTACTGCCATTATCTTGTCCGCAAAAGGAATTATCCCAGGAGTTATCTCATTATAATGTGCCGAGACATTATCTGAAGTCATATATTGGAACTATTGCGTGCTTGGTCACCGCACTCACACAAGCCCTATCAAAGGCATGTTGACCCGGTTGAAGTGTTTTGTACCACGAAGCTATATTCGGAGGAATCAGAGCGAAATCTTCAACAGCGACCCGCCAGACTGGTCTGACGACACCTCCGCTATTCGTATAATGTAGTGCAACCGATGAACTTCAAAGCGTGAAGCATTGGTCAAACTTATGCTGAATACTCAGGCCATGGCTTTCTGCTTCCTGCTTCCGAATGTTCTGTAAAGACCACAGCCAGTCCGACCACAGGCTAACTTGGATATATGAGAAGTCGTAAATGTAATGATACAAAACATCAGCATTCGGGAAAACAAGGGATTTACCTCGACTTGCAGCCCGACGGTTACACTTGCAATGAGGCCGACCAGCTTCTTAGGATTCCTGTATGAGCGAGAATGTAATGCAAATGCATAGATGCACGCCTACGTTTAAGGTTCCCGCTCTATAGGAGAGGAATTCTAGTGAAATCCCACATCCAACGACATCCGCATAGACACCTCCTAGACAAGAATGATCGTGTCTCCCATCTTGCGCGATCGAGGGCTCTTCAGAGTGCTGCACATGTATTCGCATCGTGCCCCACGCACCTTCAGCCGAATTATCGTCACACAACATGGCGCATCAGATCCCATCTGTGGTGCAAACCCTCTCCCCCAAGTGATGCAGGTGGTTTGGAAGCAGGTCAGGTACCAATCACGAAAGCGCCAACAACACGCGGTGGTCTGGGCAACGAGAAAATGATGCCAATCCGTCGCAAACAAGCTCAGGTGAAGCCGAGCGTATATTCTTGTGTCATCGTTGCTTCTATTAAAGCTTCCCCATTCCCCTTGTCGGCGCCAGCGAGGTCGAGGGTGTTGTTGTGGATGAGAAGCTCGCTTTGTTGCCACTGGCTGTTACTGCGCCGACTTGCTTTTTGGGCGCTATCGTGCTCCCTACTCCTCGCGTAGAGTTCGCTGGGAGTTTGGGCCCATCGCCATCGCCAGCAAACCAGCCCAGCCTCTAGCAGCCTCGTCATTTCGGTGCCCTGGCACGGCCATGAAAACCGCGTTAACGTCAATCAATATCGGTCGCATCACTCCCTTCCTCTAAGATTCACACTCGAAACGAAACCCAAGAAAGACAATAACCTTGGTCTCACGAATCTTGCAGGAGGGTAATTCCCTCATCACATTGCCATTCGCATAGCGCCATCCTTCCTCCCTTCTCCCTCCTCCATCCTCCATCATCGTCACAAACCGTCAAAATCATGGGCTTCTTCACCTCCCCAACGTCGTTTCGATTGAATTCTGTTGCTGCGGGCCACAACGTCTCCTCCGTCGCCGAAAATGCCTTTCAGACATTCGCCTTCCTCTCGACGCGCGGTAATACACATGAATCACACCCGCCCATTGGGAACCTTATCCTTCTGGTCTTCGAGGCCGTTCTAGAGGTGGTATGCGTGAGCTTGCCAGGTTACATTGTGGCAAGACAGGGCATGTTCGATGCCGAAAACCAGAAGTTTGTTGCGAATCTCAATGTGGCATTATTTACGCCATGTCTAAGTATGTAGACCGCAGACCCAACTGAATTACGCTAAATTGAGTGATAGTTTTCACCAAGTTGGCGTCTCAACTGACGGCCGATACTCTGGCCGACCTAGCCATCATCCCATTGATCTTTGCCGTCCAGACCCTCGTTTCTTACTTGGTCTCTCTGGCGGTATCCAAAGCATTCGGTTTCCAGAAAAGACCCGCAAACTTCGTCACTGCCATGGGAGTAAGTTGATATCCAACCTCCAGTTAAGCATGTATTAATATTCCAAGGTCTTCGGAAACTCAAATTCCCTTCCAATCTCCCTCGTCATCTCGCTCGCGGCAACGCTGAAAGGTTTACATTGGGATCAAATTCCGGGAGATAACGACGATGAGGTAGCGGCAAGAGGAATTCTATATCTTCTAATATTCCAACAACTGGGTCAACTGGTGAGATGGAGTTGGGGATATCATGTCTTGCTAGCACCGGCCGAGAAATATGAGACGGCAAGCGACATTTCGGACATGGAGGGAGGGTATAGAGATGATCCAACCGATGAACTGATTCCTGGGTTGGATGGCGGCCACGACGATCACGAAGACGGCATGTTGCACCCTTCTAGCTCATCTGTTTCTTTCGAATCGGGAGGCAGGACTCCAATTTACAATGCCCAGTACGCAGGATCAATCAATATGGAGAACGAGGACAATCACACCAGGAAGATGCCTGACCTTCTTGCAACTCCAGCCAACGGAAACCAGTTTCCAAACGATCGCTCAAATGGCAATATGACTTCTTTCCCGGCTATTCGCATTCCGTCACAGGAGGAGGAAAATATACCAGAAGGTTGGAGAGGTATCATCCCATGGATCAGCTTACGCACCAAGCAAGCGCTGGTAAAAGTTGCGTTTGTTGTGTCTTGGCCATTCAAGAAATTATTCCACGCACTTCCAACGGCAGTTCAAAATCGATCAGCGAAGATCTATAATGGCTTCTGGGAGTTTATGAACCCACCTTTGTGGGCTATGTTGGTAGCAATCATCGTTGCTTCTGTCCCATCACTTCAACGACTATTCTTTGAAGAAGGCTCATTCGTGGCCAATTCCGTCACTCGTGCAATTTCACAGTCAGGTGGCGTGGCCGTTCCTCTCATTCTAGTCGTCCTTGGGGCGAATCTAGCTCGAAACACTCTTCCTCAGAGCGCGATTGACGAAAACTCCGAGGAAAACAAAATCGGTACAAAACTACTCATCGCCTCGCTCATCTCCCGCATGCTTCTGCCAACCCTCATCATGGCACCAGTACTCGCAATCACCGCTAAATTCGTCCCCATCAGCATTCTTGATGACCCCATTTTCATCATTGTTTGCTTCTTGTTGACGGGTGCACCAAGTGCTTTGCAACTAGCTCAGATCTGCCAAATCAATGGTGTTTACGAGGGCGTCATGAGTAAATTGCTGTTCCAGAGTTACGTCATCTGGTAAACTTCTTCCTTCCCCATTACTTTTATAATCATTTCTAACTCTACATCTAGGATTCTCCCATCCACCCTCATCCTAGTGATGTGTGCGCTCGAAGTCGTTGAGTGGGCTGCTGCTTCATAATACATGATACCCTCCAAAAATTTCCTTTTCCAGTTGATAGATACATATTAGTTTAACTTTGCCACATCATCTTAAAATTCGACCGTTCTTGTATAGATAGTGGATCAGAGCAGTGGTTTAATTGTAGTTTTCGAAAGCTAATGGCGTGATGCATTGGCGAGCGAAACCGGCGTTTGCGGCTGCAGAGAGAGACGGAGAGACATGTTAGAGGCGAATATTCGTAGGATGAGAGATATTGAATATAAAGCTTTTATGTATCGTCGGCTTGTACCGACATGCTCTTGTTCTTCAATGCTAAATTGCTAGTCATCGGGGGCGGGGTCGACAGAAGTGATGATGAGGTAGCTATTGGGCTATGACGGCGCCTTTTAGTTTGACCTTGAGGTTTCCTACACGTAATCTTATGAGGATGGATTAGATGGCACCAGGTCTCGCTTGTAGCTTCACTTGGGAAATATAGAAGGATTCGACCAAGAAGATGTGTCAATTCTGGGAATGAACGAACACTAACAAATGTTTTATCAAGCAATCGGTAAACATGCATCCTACGTTTCTGTCAGTTGCTAGCGAGCTCTCATCGCTGTTGCAACTTGTACAGTCCTCTCGTTTTTTATATTACCTTTGCGCAATTCGGTTATTTCAGCGTTCTTTATCAGAGCCCATAGACTTCTAGTTCAGATATGGTCGTAGAGTCTTAAAGGAGGATTTTGCGTTGAGCTAGCCGATATGTGACGGGTCTGTGGACTTTGAAATAGATCGAGCTGGCACGCTGGAGATGGTTTGTGGTTGTTGGGAATGGTTTGAGGGAGTGAGATGATGAGGCATTGATAAATAGGAGGTCAATTTGAGTTTTATTGATCACGGCTCGACTAGGGGAACACCTCATGGTAGCTCAAGCAGCACCTACGAAGCAAATCGGCATTCGTCTCCACGGCCCTTGGATGAACCGTTCTGTGAAGCTCTGGATACAATGTCCTTACCCCAGAATAGCCATGTATAAAGGGCCGTATCAGAAGACATCCGCAGCCAGCGCCTTCGCAGAATAACAATCGGTAATAATAATCGGTACCATACCTACTCACTGCAAGACAAACGCACTCACCACAATAAACCTATACGAGCCTCATCCGAGCAATATATCATTATCGATTACCCATTCTGTGGTTTCCTCCCTCAGAGCTTGTTATAGAGGCGGCGGTACTTCGACATTGGTACTTATAGTTTCTCCCACACAGAAATCGAGGAAACTGACTACATAGCCAGAAATCTCACCAGGCGTCCACGTCGTCAGAACTGAGACTATCGGGAACCCATTGTCCTACAACAAAGCTATCCCTAATATCTCACTACGTATTCGTAAATCGCACGACCCCGAGGATTTAGTTGCACTACACGATCACTATCGTAGCACACGTGCTTTGGCAGGCTATGCTGGGACTGGTCGTTGGTGACATTAGGGTCGTTTGGACGACAAGGATGGGTACTTTTGTTGTTGGCCGTAGGTACCCGACTGTCTTGTTCCTTGGTCAATAGCGTAGGAGGAGCTTACAGAGCTAGGGAGCTTAAGGGTTGAGAACTTAGGAGAGTGAGGAAAGAAGTCATATTGTTATCTTGTAGGGGGGCTGGGAAGGTTATGGGTTTATGTTCGCGGAAGAGAAGATCAATGAAAGGATTTGAGTTGTGAGGTAGATTACTGTAAGCGAGGGGGCTGTGAGATTATTCTCGAGGTGGTGCTATAAGTCTTTCAAGTTGGGAGATAAAGAGCTTGAACAAAGCACATATTTCATTGTTTTATTAGACCAATAGCAGGTGACGATTAGTGGACAATTGTACCTGGTGACAAGGCCAAGTCCTTAATTTGCTGCTCAACAGCCAGTTAAAACGAAGGACTTGGTATTCGTCTAATTTTTCACTTTTCTTTTCGTGGTAAACTTCTAAACTAAGAGAGATACATTATTCAAGTTGGCTAAATTATATGTAAAACAAAACACAGAACAGCTTGTAAATACCTGAACAGTGCGCTTTGAATGCTGTGATCCGTCTAATAGGCAACATGGATCGACCGTGTAATACTAAACACTCACCGATTTCAAACTACCTTGCGGTTCTAGAACCACAGAGAAAGGCACTAAATACTTCTTGATCGGTAAAGAAGAATTAAGCTGTAAAAGAAATTCAGGAGAACCTCGCGGAGGCCAAAAGAAGGCGTGTATAAAATCGAGCTTAGGGAAATGTCTAGGAAAGAAAGTAAGGGGCCTTGGATCATTTCCATATATAGCTAACGAACTAGGCCGGAATACGATGTCACTGAACAACACGTATTTTCAAACTAAGTAAATAAAACAACTTTTAAGAATACATATAAATTTTCCTTGGCGTTTTCCTCACCTTTTCCTCACCCTTTTCCTCGCCTTTTTCTCCGATAGAATAAACCTATAAGAAGGCCCATCTTACTACAACAAGTAACGCAAGCCCTTGAAAATGTCACAGCTTCGGCCTTCCAGATGTGGAACGTCCACCGCCGCAACCATTTAACCCTTGGAGATATCTCATCCCAATTGAGAAGAAGAGTTCAGACGTCGACTATTTTATCTACATTAATGTAGGTGACGGCACAATTTTAGTGCAAGACCGGGCTGACGGCCCTGTAGACAACAAGAACGAGATATTTACGCTATTTCCAAAACTTCCAATGGAAATCCAGCTGAAAATTATGCACCTTTCCCGTCCAGGCCCTCGTCTCATCAGGGTCCAAGTAAACCTTAAAAATCCCCCTTTTGATTACCTTCGAATGTATGTCCCATACGAGCTACATTTCAGTCATTCTCCATCTTCTTCTGACGATAGTAAATTTTCCCATATGAAGAAGGAGCACGGATTTACCAAGGACGTATCTCCTAGGTTCAAAAGGTTGAAAAACCCTGCCATGCTTTTTGTTAACCGAACAGTCAGAGCTAAGATGCTAAAACATTATAGGAAATTTAAGTGTTCATTCTCGCAGGCTGACCCTTCTTACAAATTGCGACGAGGTAAAACAGGTCGGGTGAACGATATAAAAAAGCAAAACGTGGTTTAGTTCAATTCTCTACAGCAAAACCTCGTCTTTACTGATCTCGACGCGCTGGCTTTCTTTACGAGCGCTGGGGTTACAGAGCCTAATGAGTTTGAGCGCTATGTTCGACACTTGACCCTCTATCGACGGATAGGTTACTGCATGATGGAGACTCTTCCAGTAGTTCTTTCTAAGTTCCAAGCGCTCGAGACTATTACATTGGCGTATACAGAGTGCTTAATCCACAAACACCCGCGCCGTGGCCACGAGGCATATTCTAATTTTATAAAGAGTTAGACTCCAGTACTCTCGAAGGTGAAACAAGAATAAGGGCATCCTTTGAGTCAAGTGGTAGGGAAATACCCTATATGGTTGACATCACCCTATATGGTTGACATCTTCCCCTCGAGTGAGAGACGGTCTTTCAGGAGAATAATGGGCAAGCCACACCAGGCCAACTCCGGTTTCTGAACTTCGTGATAAATGTACGAGAAATTTCTGGCTCACTTGCGCTACCTGAATGGGCGAAGCTTCACGCTCTAGCGAGAACCCTCTAGATGTTAGGACCCTATATCTATAGGCTAAGTACGCTACTTGAAGACTAAACTGTTAGTATCTAATAGAATAAGCAAGGCCCAATTTATTGGCCTCTATAGAAGGCTCTTGTAGAATTAAACCAATTAACTAGTAAATATATAATTAGCTACTAATTATTATAAGATAATGATATTTTAAAAAGTAGTAAAGAGAACGTAATAAATTAGAAAAGAGAAATAACTAGCAAGTCCTTTAAAAACATAAACTAAACCTTGAACACTATATCTTAGTACTAATAGAAAGTGTAATAAGAATTGACAGCCTTGCCTCTATAATGAGACCGTGGAAGCTGTCTTTATCCGTAGGTAGATAAGAGGTCGCTTCGCTAAGCGACCCCCCCTTTTCTAATGATCGGCTGTTTCTTCTATAACATAACATCCTACAAATACTCTAAAAGAATCAAATTTACAAAAGTCCTTCTTTAGTAATTAGGAAAGACTACAAATCCAACAGAACTTCACCCATCATTCATTCGCAGCGCGATCTAGGTTCTAGATCAAAGTCCTCCACAGCTTCATTTAGAAATTCGAAATATGAATTTAGCTTGAGGGCCTTCGCATGGTAAATCAATATGTTTAAGTTCTTTCCGTTGAGATGTTGGAACCGAAACTTGCGTTAACTACAACTACCTTGCGTCGAAAACTCCCAAAATCCCTGTCACATCGTCAATTGCCATATGTAGAAAGTCACGAATACAGCGCTGCTTTCTATGAGTCAAGAAATTCGAGACGAGATACTGAAACACTCTTAGAAGTTTAAGCATGTAGCAAAATTCTCGACAAGTTGGTGACTGGAAAACAACGAAGGGACAAATTCAAATGTCGAGCGCCAGAAATTTGCAAATTTCGTTGCGAAGATTCGATGCACTACAACTTCATTTTTAAAAATCATGTGGAACTTTGTGTTGTCGGTGGTTCAGTTGCCATAGATCTGGAGCAGCATGTGCGAGACCTGACGAGTCGTCAGGATATGGTAGAATTTAAGAGGCCTACTAAAACATTTCCAGAACTTTCAGAATTCTCGCCACTGAAAAATTTCACCTTACACGAATATTGTGGGGTTATCCCAGAAGTTGAACGTATATTTTTGATTGTGTTTTCAGGCTGCCGGTGGCGACTACACATATATCATCTATGTTATACGCAATAGACAACATAGGAGCGCATTCTAGATCACAGAATTTTATGATCTTAAGGTTGGATAAAGCTTGTGATGTCTATTTGCAAGGTGTTGTAAGATATTAATGCTTTGAATAATTGAACTTGAACTTGAACAGTGGTAGTATGTGAACAGTAAAACGCGCTGTTGAATAGTGGGGAAAAAGACAATTAAAAGGGGTGATTTAAAACAGCTAAAACAGTACAGAGTAAGTGAAACGCTACGGAACAACTAGTCATCAAAACACTTGGATCTATTTTGAGTTGTAAAATGTTCCTAAATACAGATGCCATTGATAGCACTTCCCATCAGATTAGCTTGCTGTTACTCAATGTTTCTTATCAACCTTTTGATTTATGGTTCTTTTGGAACAATGATTGGAAAAGTCGAAAATCAACCAAAACAGTAATCAAAATGGGTTACAAAAAACATCCTCCTGACCCATTAGAAAATTTTCCCTCATAATTAATCCGGGTATTACTCACACGCAATTGCAAAAATGCCAATTCCAGTCCCTAACCCAGTACCATTTTTCCCATTTCGACATCTGCTCCCTCTAGGAGAACAAAACGCAGATGTGGATTATTTCGAGTATATAAATGATTCAAATGGTTCCGGACATGTTTTGGCACGTGAACTAAGTGTGACAATGTCTTTTCCCTTTCCGAAACTCCCGTCATTGAACGACGACAGGAAAGCTTTCACCCTATTCCCCGAACTCCCTTGGGATATACAGCTAATGATCATCGATCTAGCGCGCTCAGGTCCTCGTATTATTGCACTTCGAAGAATAATTCGGACTACGCATCAAACGAGACATTTGATAAGGGTCCCATTTGTCGAGAACTTTGAGTTTGGTTTACCTCACATGGGTGCCGCGTTCGTGAGTGAGCATTCACATCTCGAAGGTGACAGACATATTCACGACGTGGCTGGTGTCTTGTTGAGATTAGGGGACTTCAAGAACCCCGCCTTGCTCTATGTTAACAGAGCAATTCGCTTTGAGATGCTGAAACATTATAAACAGTTAGAGTATCAGTGGTCACAATATCGCTTCGGTGATGACAGAATGAGAAGCAGCGACGTTAGATACGCAAGAGCTCGCGCGAAACCAGCCGGCTTGGCTTTCTTTAACCCTCATTTAGACAACATCACAATAGACAAGGCTTTGGAACTTGAGTATTTCACTAATTGGAGAAGCGCTAATAAAGCGACCAATGATCTAGAGCGGCATGTACGACACCTGACCATTCGTGATAGCATAGTTGATGCTTGGGGCGCCGGCCTTCCGGCGCAGCTCCTTAGATTCATGTCGTTAGAGACGATCACAATGCTGGAAAGAGGTGGACTAGAGCAAGCAGTGACATGGTCGTCCTATCAGTCCAAGGATAGCCTTTCCCCCGACTTAAAAGATAAGACACGGTATCTCGAGAAGCGCTTGAAAACAGCATTTGAGGACAGAGGCAAAACAGCACCTTACATTATTGATATCAGTATGTCTCAATTTCGATCATGGAAACGGGTTCTAGGTGAGGATCACATTGCGGGTCCGGGCATACAAGAGTACTATGGAGAGAATCCGAAAGGTTACTTTGATTAATGACTCGAAAGAGTTTCTAGAACAGTCTCATTTACCCAAATTATTAACTAAATACATACGATTCTCTCAACCTAACGGAATTAATATACACTTTCAACTGCTACTTATCCTGTCTACTACGAACCTGTCATATAAGCATATAAACTAAATTGGGGTGTGTTCGGTTACTAAGTTAAAATTCTAGTTTTCTTTTTAAAAGTTTTAGATTCGTTTTTTAATCATAATAATCATGTTTCTTTAAGGTTACAATATAGGTGGTCAACAACGCAATAGGTTAGATTTTACTGATATGCTTACTCACTAATTAATATAAACAAAACACTTATTTATATACACTAGATTTGATCAATAACGAATTGCTTCTCATTGCAACACTGTCATCCAAAATGAAGTGGTTATGGTCGGAATTATAAAAACATTTGTTACCACCATATTCCTACCCAAAAAATATCCAGTTCTCCGTACCCCTATTTTAATCACACAATGGACGGTCGAGATCTCAATGTTGGCTCATCGCCAGCGATATTCAATCCATTCCGATACCTTCTCAACTCTCCCGACGAAGAAGACCCAAGAATCGACTACCTTAAGCGCGTAGGACACGGATCAGACGAATGGCACATCCAACAAAACAAACACAAGAACTTCCAGCTCTTCCCAAAATTCCCAACCGAGCTCAAGCTGAGGGTCCTTCACTTCTCTATGCCCGGTCCTTGTCTCATCCGAATCAGATCTAAATATCGTACCGTTGATAGGAAAAAGGTCTGAGTCTTTATCCCATTCATCGAGCATTTCGCACAACTTGCTGCCGGTAAACATGGTTGCGACGTGGTGTTTGAGAAATATAGAAACCCAGCCTTTCTATTCGTCAATCGCGATTTTCAAGCAGAGATGTTGAAGCATTATCATGCGTGCGAGCATTCACGTGGTCTCAACTACGAGGAACAGAGAGTGAGCATTTTTTGTTTAACCGAACGTCCTTTCTCGCTTAATTAACAAATTACTAAATCCATCTATCACTTTGGACCTTCCAGACAGAGAGGTGCAAGACTATCTAACAGGGAGTGGCATTTTGACGTATTGCAGTGTGATGCACTTCAAGATATGTATTGGTACACACCTCTCAAGACCGTAGGAAGAGTACGTCATGCGGCTTCCTGCAGAACGTTTCACAGGCGCCAGTGTCAAAATGTTCCGTTTGAAGGGAAACAGTCACTCATTACGATATTGCATTCATTCAATCCTCCTTCCATTCCTCTCGTTCCGCAAAATGTTGCTAGGGACGAAAACAAAGCCCAGAATTCATCACGACAGTCATGAGAACAGAACAGCAATGGGTTTGAGCCAACCGGGCTCCTCCAGTAGCAATCTCCTGTCAATGAATCCCTACTATCTTGTTGCATCTGGATACAGGCACCACTTCCTCTAGTTATTCACAATACCGGTTTCTAAGAACCTGTACTTCCATGCTATTCTAGGCAAACTCCAAGTGCAGGAAGGATATAGTCATGCAAAGTATACAAACATGTGCTTGTTAAGTGCATTTAGAACTGAATGTCAAAGAGAAGTTCATGTCTCCTCGTTTGATTTATCTGTCACTGAAATGACGGGCCTTTGAGCTAGACAAGTGTCCAACAGTCTTCAAGCTTTCCCACCTATCATATCTTTAACTATACTTCTTTCGGTTTCTTTGATCTAAAATATCTTGTTTGATAATAAAGAGAAACAAATGCCTAAAAGGGATTTCTGCTTTAACAATCATCTGTGTTCGGCCGCCAATCTCTTCTCCAAAGCTTTGTTCAGTCCCATTTGTTTCAACTCGCGGTTTCTCGCTAATATTACAGATATGTCTTGCTTAAACGCTGCGACGTTATCCTCATGCACCTTATCAAACCCGCCCAAACAAGAGCCCAAAGCAATTCTGATTCTCTTTGACAGTCTTACGAAAAATGGCTTGTTGTAGGTTTCCACTCCAGTGATTTTTGACGTGAAGGATTGGTGCTCACCTTTTCCCGGACCATTGAACAAAGCCTGCAAGTTTGACATCTGGATTTTTGGAGAACCCGGTAATGTCATTAGGACTACACAGGTCGCTGATATGGTACGGCTATATAATGCCTTTTTCTTCTGCCTCGTTTTCTCCGTCGTCATCTTCCGAACCACTGACCTTGACACCACAAAAACAGCCCAAAGTAAGCCACATCTTATACACCGCAGACGACAGAAGAACGACCCCTACAATTCCCCGAGAAAATCACAGATATGCGGGAAGTCTATGGGTTTGAGTTTCCAGAGTCTCATCCTTCTATTGTTGTAACTCACGAAACTGACAAGCCGTCAACACGACTTCTTCTATCATATGATGACACCGTCCCCGGTCAGACACTCAATACATGCCACGAAAGAATCGGCATCCATCTTGCAACCAAATGCCTAGCCTCCTTGATCGGCGTCACCCTCGCCTTGGGCACCACCCGCGCTCATGGGCCGGCCCATGGCCACCGGCTTCTTCGAGAAGCGGAAACCCTGATACTAGCCATGCCTACCGGAATAGAGTTGGCTTCTGCAATCAAGAAGACGTTCCCTTAAGCCGAATTGAAGCGCGTGGATGAGCCAGAAGAGATCCCACATGCGAATTTGAATGGCCCAAGAACTGTTCTGTTAGTTGACTTCTTAATGAAAGACCACAATTCGATTGGAGGCGTTATGCGGACGGCGAGACAATTGTTTCCAACCGCGAAGTTCGTGATTGTAGCTGCTGTTGCTTACCGAACTGCGATCGAAGGATATGCATCGACGCCAAGGATTCCAAGTGACCAGGAAGCGGCGGATTTGGATATTGTGACATTGAGTATCTGGGATGGACCAAATGATGAACAGTCAGCTTCGGGGGATGTTGTCATGTCGGAGGATTGAGGATCGAGAATTCGCAAGGTGGGTGGAAGTATCTTCGTGTGCCTGGTATTTCGAGATCGCCGGAGGCTTGAGCAAGGAATGGCAGCAAAATAGATGATAAAGAAAAGTATTGAGGGAGAATATAGTTGTCAAATTCTGCTTTCGGTCACGGTTATCTATCCTTGCTCCTGGACTTGGCATTATTCCTCCCGCCCCTTACCCTCGGCTCTCCACTGAGCGCAAATCATTCATAATGTCCCGAAAGTCTAGATACTGTCCATCCAGAAATCCCGCTTGTATCATCAACTGCCATCTTATAAATACTCCTTTCCAGACCACTTCCAAAATGCTATCATCAAAAACTAATAATCAGTCATATCAATTGCCTCTGAACATTTGGTATTCGCTGTTGACCTTTCCGAAGGTGAAAGAAAGAAATTCGTATCGTCTTTTTTGGGGGGAATAGAAAATGCAATCATTTGAATCTTGACGTGCAACGACCCATCACCTCTCCCTGGCATACTAGCTCGGCGTTAAATTCTGAACCATCTAGTGTGAGGTAGATATCGAAGTAAACACGGTAGAATGTGCCTTGTGGAGTGTCCATTCGTTCGAAGTCCTTTTCTAGGTTTTTGCGGGAGAGATCTGAGGTTAGGGTGACAACTTCCTTGACGCCTGCCAACGGATTAGTTTCGATTTCAAAATAAGAGAGAATATGCTTACGGGGATCCTTGGTGTATTCTGGGCAAACATCGTCATCACAAGCATATAGGATATCCTCGTACATCAAAGTAGCCCCAGGAGCAACTTGTCTGAAGAAAGAAACCTTCACCGGCTCTCCAATCTTGACTCTTTGGCCCTTTTGGACGAAAATCTGCCGAGTAAACTTGCATCGATCTTTTCCATCGAGAGAGGGCACACGATAAGCTTCTGGGTGGTGGCCTTCTTTGAATGGCTGAAGAGTTGCCATGAGGTAATGTCTTCGAGCAACACGAGATGTGACAACTCGTTCTGTGATACCAGCGGTAACAGCTCCCTTGACGATGGCTGCAACCGAGTCCATGGGTCTCACGACCTTGGACTGGAATTGTGGTGGCACATGTAGCTTGATTTGCTGGAAGAGGTATTCAGAAGCTCCAAATCCACCCACGACCAGTACGTTCTGCAACGTGCGGTTTTGCGCTTGAATGGCGATGATTTGATTGCGCACCAGTTCGAGGATTCGGTTGACAACAGGCTCGAAACACTGTAAAATTTCCTCGTTGGTAAATGTCATGTAACCTTCTTCGATTCCAGCTTCTGGGAACTCGGCTTCGATCCCAACATCAACGGCCCACTTTTGGTTGTTGTTGCGGAAATCCGCCTTGATTCTGTTTTCAAAGTCCATGATACACTTTGCATACACTCTGCCTGCGGTCTTCGATCCATCAGGAAGTTTCATCTTCCGAATCTTCGTTCGGAGGATGTTGGAGAAGTTTCGATTCAGAGCGGTCGAACCGCAAGAATCACCAGAACCAGCTGTACACTCGGAAACCGTGAAAGGAGACTCTTCCTCCACCTCATAAGCAATCAAATCGACGGTGCCACCTCCACAATCCACAATCAAAACCGCATCGTGAACTTTGAGATTCAGAAGACCCGCCTTGGAGCAGAAAAGAGCGGCAGCTTCGGGTTCGGTGATGAGCGTCAGTCGGTTGTCATTCTCGTCTCGAAGGAACCCGGCTTGAATCGCGGCCGCGCGAGTTGCAGCCTTTCCAGCGTCGTTCCAAATAGCAGGCACAGTCAGATAGTACCGAATGTTCCGTTCTTCTCTGTTAAAGACCTCTCCTAATGTCTTTTGTAACTGGTTTCTCATCGCCTGGCGGAGCTTGAAAAGATAATCTGCGGCCACATCGATCTCGGACTTTCCCGGTGGAAGTGGAGGTAGGTTGATAGGATCGATGTATGTGTTACCGGAAAGCATCAGCTGCAATTTGAACCATTCCACCTTTTGCACACCCGGCTTTGGGTAGCCAGTTGGTGCGAGAGCATCAGCAATATCAGGTCCCCATCCGACGACTTTCTGGTATTGATCGTAGTATAAAACGGTGGGAATCTGTCGTGGTCAGCACAAACGGTGATCTCAGCTGAGGGGCTGGCGCCTAACGCACCTTTTGTTTTGTGTATGATCCAGCACCCGGCCATTCTGTGATGATATCTTCTTTCGCCTCGGTGTTCGTAGCAAAGGCAAATGCAACTCCAGAGAAGGTGGTTCCCTACATGATTAGCTAGACTCGAAAATTAGGTGTGGTGTTTGTGCGTACAAAATCGATGCCCACGATCAATTGCGCCTTGCTTCTGCCAGCACCCTCAACCTCGACAGCGTTTCTGTTCGCATATTGCGCCGCTGCCATGCTTTGTCCACCGGCGGGTGCTGGTGCTCCATACTGAGGAGGACCGCCATATTGTGGAGGACCACCTGCTGGCGGAGGAGGGCCCATCTGTTGCGCGGGATGGCCTGGAGGATATCCAGAGGCAGCAGTATTGATCGGGGGAGGTCCGCCCATCATCTGGGTCGGTGGTGTACGGGGTGTTCCTGTGGTGAGAGGGGATTGCGTGCGTCCAAGGCCGGCGGGAGCAGGTGCGTAGTTATTTGTATAACTCGGTGGGCGTCCTCCACCGGTTCCGGGATGATTCATGGGAAGACTTGTGGTCGAGGATGCAGACGAGGCTGTCGAGGGGAGGGGGAGGGGGAGGGGGATGGAACCAGGTCGACCAGGGAGCAGCTGCGGAGCGGGTGATTGAGGGGTGGGGTTTTGTGCGATTGTGGGCACGTTGGCGCTCGATTTGCGTTTGGAGCCGAATCCAAGGCTTTTGAATCGGGAGTTCATAGAACTCATAAGGCCCGGGAGGGAAGGAGGAGGAGGGGAATCAGGAGGTATTAATCAATGCGAGGGTGCGGTGGTGTTGGCGGCGGCGCAGAGGTGAGTGAGGAGGGTGCTGCTGGTCTGGCGCTGGTGCTGATGCTGATGCTGGTGCTGGATGGTCCTGCGTGGGGGGGGGCGTGGGAGGTGCAGATTTCTCGTGTTGTGGTTGGAGAGGGGAGAAGAGAGGGGATTGTGAGGAGGGCGAAGGCGGGAGCGACGAGCGGTCGAAGGAGTGGCTGGTGAGAGAGGAGAAAATGTAGACTCCGTAGGGTGGAGAGAGAAAATAGGAATAACAACAGGCACGACCGTATGTCAACGAGCGAGTCCTTAGTGGAGTTGAATTGTCATGAATTGCCGTCGTGAAATGGTCGTGTTTTCGGAGGTCGATTATTGGATTGGATTGGGTTGAGTTGGGCTGGGCCGGGCTGGGCTGGACGAAGTCAGAGAATAAAGAAGTCCTGCTCCGACTAGGTTAGACGAGGCTGATTTAGACTTAGACACCTCTTGGGCTAGCATTCCTCAGCCTACATCGCAAGCAGACTGACTGACTACCTACCTACCTACCTAGGTAGTTGTTATTCCACCCTCCCCCTCCGCTACTGTATATGCTTGTATTTACTAAGCAAAACTATCCACTCGAATTACAGCTAATCGTACGGAGACGTCAAAGATGGGACGAGGGGTAGAACGAACGGGAGACGCTCCACAGCTTCTACACCCGTTTTGCCACTTCGATAACAATGTAATCCTTTGTGTACGAAGCACCAATACATTCATTCGCCTCTATTATGCGTGCGTGCTGGAAGGAACATCTACCGGACCCGTAGAAGCGAATAGGTCGACACCACATCGAGTGTGCAATGCCAACCTATGAGCTGAGTTGGCAACAATAATAATGTACCATCCTGCGATCATTATCTCTCATCTTGGGAACTCGACGTCGCCGTGCCCATGTCTAAAACTAGCGATAGGGCTGTGAACTCGTTGTTCGCTATTCACACCTTTGACCTGGAATCCACACGTTGGCACACTGGGACAAATTGCTAAATGAAGGGCACAGCGTGTGGAGATGATAGGTGAGATGACGGGGACCGATCCTTTCATGGTAATCCAGATACGAATTCAAGTAGATCCAGCTATAATACGTTGGTCCCCAGTCCTGTATCTCGAGAGTCTGGACTTATGAGCTCTGCGGATGTCTGATGGGATTGGACCTTTCGTATTTCCTGTCCTACCTGGTACATTGTGACTTTAATATTACGAGTACAAGCATCGGTAAAATGCTATGCGATCCCAGACAATCGAGTCTGATTACCGAATTCTATTGCATACCTCCGAATACTGGCTGCAAAAAACTCAGCCTCACTGTCTTCATGAGCTTCACGATCAGCTCTGCCCCGCTCTGAGGCTCACCACGACCACATCTGCCTTATATCGTGGTTTTCAGGTCTCAAGAAATTCGTTGATGTCCAACCTTACCCCATTACCGCTTAATCCGCTTTTTGCAGTTCGTCCTGCGTAAAATTTACAGGACTCGCATTCGCCTCCGAAGTCCTGAAAAAGTCCTGAACAACACCCTGGCCCGGATACTCTTCAGCCCCAAATTGATTGTCGGCTTCAGATGCTTTTTCCGAAATACATCTTCCGATTGGTCTTTGCGAGTTCTCGTCTTTGCTGTGATCTCCAACCTGTGCCGCAGGAAATTGGTTCTGGACTTTGGAAAGGCTTACATCATGTGACGGTGAGGTGAAAAACGTGGTTCTTGAGGCTTGATACATCAATGATCCCTTTGCTTGGAGGGTCTCGAGATGTAAAGACATGGTTGCTGCATTTCCATGTCGTGTAACTGCAGTCATAACTTTGGTAATATGGGCTTCGTCGTAATTGCCAGTCCTGGCCAGTCATTGTTGTGAGGACTTCGAAGTGAAGCAGCAAATAACGAACTTTCGAGAAGCAGTCACTCGTGTTATACCGCTTCTTCGAGTTCAATACAAATCTGGGAGACCTGTATCAAGCCAAAGTAGCCAGGATGAAGAAGTTTACGCAGTTGTCGTTTGTTGGTATATTGAGAGGACAGCCTGAGAACCTGAGCTAACACATTAGATTCTCAGTATAAAGAGGCAGATATTTCTGCTTTAGACCTGAAGCTAATATGAACTAAACACTTACAGGCTTTGATGCAGCAAGTGGGTCAGTTTCCACGAACAATAACAAGTTGAAGGCCGTGATAGTTTAAGTGCTGCAGAGTACTTGAAGATATGGATGTCATGGATAGTTCAAATATCATGAGCCCAGAGTCGAACTCTGAGCGCGTGAACCCGAAACAAATAAACGGCCATTGTTAGGAACAAGGTCGTAGCAGTGTAATCATCAAGAAGTGCACCATCAAATCACCGTATCTTGACTTTGCATCTGCACAGCATCCGTTCGGATCCGGCTTTAAAACGAGGATCAGAATTAGCTGAAGATCAGAAAGCCGATTCTGGCTGATTTGGGATTGTGCCTGCTGTATCGAGAACTACATATTACGTGCATGAAGACCAGACGTGGACAGCATACGGTTCCAGCGCAGAGAGCTTGTATGGATTAAAGAGGAAAGAAATGCCACAATCGTTGGGTTAGATGACGAGAAGCTATCCATGTGAGAAGTTTAGAAAAGATGGTCATTGTCCGCTCCAGGTCAATTACTTTTGGTGTTGGGTCGAGATAGACTCCACACAGACGCTCAACGACATCATAGCGGAGCTTCTCTGGTCTCACGATCTGGCCGAAGTTCCTAGAAGTTGTATCTGACATTATTTTGCAAAACTAATGCCAAAGTAAGTAAATCACCTTAGAAGATACGCACGAAAACAAAATGGGAAACAGCTTGTCGCCCGGGCTTGGACCGAGATATTATAACTTATTCTCCGTATAAATCGAGCATCGTAGGTATGTATGTACTCGTTTCGAGGTTTATATGATATATATATACATACGTTTTGGACCGTCTTTATTGTTGGGGGTATCACATCGCAGATGGTCACGGTTACGGCCCTTTTCCAGTAGCTTTTTCGCTTTCCTCGCCTGGCCCATGAAAACCCACGGCACTAGCACCAGCACCTGCAGACGAATAAGCATCCCTCCAACAACCCATTTCGTTCTCCAAGCCATCTGGAAGGCCAAACAAGGCTCTCCCTCTCACGCTGCTGCTGCTGCTGCCCCTCCACTGCCCTGCTCACGCCGGCCTTCTGCTTCTGCCCCGCACTCTGACCGTGGTGGCTTTTGGCCTCAATCCACCACCACGTCGTCCCTCACTAGAAGAAGGGCCAGTGGAAGTGGTCCGCACAAATCTTCGTCCCCTCCACCACCTCCACCTTCATCGAACTCTCTCCCAGCAAAACACCCCACGAGGATCATTGACGAGCCCGTCTTCTATCCAACTCACAAAGTGTCGTCCCAGAATAGGATCTCGCGATTGCATCTGGTCTCGTTTGCCTTTCTCGCAATCGTCATAGTAAGAGATCACGAGCAGCATCCTCACCCTCACTAACCTTCTCCCAGATTTTCCAATTCATCCTGGCAACAAACGATTCACCGAAATCCACCACGTCTCCGCATAACTCCTACTCCAGACCCTATTCCCCCTCTGCCGATTCATTCGAAGCCCCTACCTGTGCCAATCCTCGACCGTTCTACACCGAAGCACCAACCTCGAGACCACGCAAAATGGCGCTTTCTGCAGAGGCTGAGCGGATTGCTGCTGAGTTCGAGTTCAACGACTCAAATGTCAATCGGGCTGTGCTTGAGTTTGTCGCCGAGATGAGTTCGTATAGAACCCCAAACGCACCCATGGGCTCGCGTCTAACTTATGTGTAGATGAGGGGTTGGAAAAGAATGCGACATACATGAGCCAGATTCCCACATACGTGACAGGCGTACCGAATGGAACAGAAAAGGTAGGTGACCTCTAAACAAACAAAAGTCCGCGTCTCAAAATCTCAGGGTCTATACTTGGCTGTTGATCTTGGTGGAACCAATTTTCGAGTCTGCTCAATCAATCTCCACGGAGACACCACATTCAGCATTACACAGAGTAAGGTCGCTATTCCACGAGAGCTTATGGTTGCAAATACAGCCCAGGAGCTATTCTCATTTCTGGCCAAGCAAATCGAGCTGTTCCTCAAAGAGCACCACAACGACCACTTCGAAGCAAGCATCAAACGCCGTCAGACAATCAGTTCTCCAGAGGGTTACAGGGACGAAAACTTTTTCCGATTGGGCTTCACGTTTAGTTTCCCAGTACACCAAGTTGGAATCAACAAGGGTAATTTGATTCGATGGACAAAAGGGTTTGGAATCGCAGATGCAGTCGGTCAAGACGTGTGCGGTATGCTGCAGAAAGAAATTGACAATTTGAAATTACCAGTCAAGGTAGCTGCTCTAGTCAACGACACTGTGGGAACACTTATGGCGAGATCATACACATCGCCAGGAAAGACAAGTACCCTTCTTGGGGCTATCTTCGGAACTGGAACCAATGGAGCATATGTCGAGAAACTGTCCAAGATCACTAAGGACATGGAGGGCGAGTTTGATTCTTCTACGGGGCTGATGGTTGTCAACACCGAGTGGGGTTCCTTTGATAACGGACTGAAAGTTTTGCCAAACACGAAGTATGACGAGATTTTGGACAAGGACAGTATCAATCCCGGCATACAGATGTTCGAGAAGCGAGTTTCTGGCATGTTCCTGGGCGAAATCCTCCGAACTGTTTTGGTTGAGATGTTGAAGAATTCTTCCATCTCACTTTTCCGAGACGACACATCTGCAAACAACGATTATCATTCTACCACCGAGATCAAGCGGGATGCGGCGATTTACAAGCAGTGGGGCGTCGATAGTAGCATTCTTTCCGTCGCAGAAGCGGATAACTCCTCAGGTCTAAAGACACTACGCCAATTCATTGAGAAAGATCTTGGCGTTTTGGCCGCGAGTCTCGAGGACGCACAAGCTGTCAAGACAATCGCACATGCCATTGCAGTACGTGCTGCCCGTCTGGCAGGTGTCGCGCTTGCAGGCGTCGTTCTTCAGACCGGAAGACTTGACAAACCGGGAAGTGAACCTGGACCAAAATCAGCTGCTGCGATCGCTCAAGACGTCAAGTCAGGAAAGTTGGCCGAGGCTGCAAGTGCGACAGCGAACAAGCTTGCAGATACGGCAGGTCTGGCTGTCAACGAAGACGAGATTGTCGATATCGGTGTTGACGGCAGCTTGGTAGAATTCTATCCCGGTTTCGAGGATTACATGCGAGAAGCTATCAGGGCTACAGAGGGTATCGGAGCTACGGGTGAACGAAAAATCCGAATTGGTATTGCTAAAGATGGATCCGGTGTTGGTGCTGCATTGATTGCGCTTGTTGCCGCGCAGATGGAGAAATCAGCGTCTAGTACAAAGTAGGTGAATGGTACTGGGATTTATGCAGAAAATGAGGCGCACCGGGGATAAAGGTTGAAGCTAAAGCTCCGTGGGTTATTGAGATGGATTGGTAGTCGTCGGCAGTTACTAGAAACCGGCTGGGCTTTTTGTTCATACTTTTGGGAATTTGGATCTCGAGCATAGCATGGTATCTGTCGGAATGGTAACTTCTCTTATTGATGTTATTGACATTTGTTTTGTCAGCACCTATATCACAAAATTGAGTTAATGAAAGCAAGGTAATAGTAGCTTTGAGAAGCATCACACGGCTAGCCTAAGTCATTTCGTATCTATGCACATGGTAAAGATATTCCTCTGCTGCCCTATATTTCTAGCTATCATGTCAATATTCTTAGTTTTAAAAGCCTCCAGTTCCTCATCAATCACCTCCCGTAAATACAACCTAGTCTATTCTGGGCAAGCAGCACTTTTCTAGACTAACGCTCGTTTGCAAAACCCCATCTTCACCTTACAAACACATTTTGGATCTTCAACAGTACATTGCCTACCTAAATCCACGAAATAGATCGAGAAACATGTCAGCTCGGCGTCCTTGACCGAAAGATGCTGACGGAACGGGTATCCTTTATACTGCAAGGTGGGGACCATCATTGGAGGTGTAAATTATGATTAGCCTCTTTTACGGTCTGCGAGTTTGACAAGAGCGATATAGGTTAAGGATTACTTTGGATCGGAAGTTTGAAGATTGGGGGCTAAGCCATATGAGAAAGAGGGTTGATTAGACGTAGCGACTTCCCCGTAGGGTGATGCAGCAGCCAGAGGGGTAAGAGGTTGCGTGTTGAAAGCTTGCACGTTGAGCAACATAGGGAGTTGTAATGTTATCAGTGTGGGAGGGAACTTTGGGTTTGGGTATAAGTCCATTTCATTTTTTGAACCACAGGGCCCGACATCCAACTCTCTAAAGCTGATCTTCCTCCACTCAAACCAAACAAAGACCTAGTACAACTTGCAAACTACTATCATCGTCATGCCACCCAAAGCAAGCACATTCAAACTTCCCTCGGTACCAAAATCCATCTTCGTCTTCTGCGACGGAACGTCCAACGATGACAACACGGATGTGAAAAAGGGGCATACTAACGTCTTTAGTCTCTTCCAATGCGTAAACGACAAAGTACCGGATGAAACCCCGCGATTGGTATTCTACCAGCAAGGGCTAGGGACATCGCCAAAGATTGGTAAAGGCGAGGTTAAGGGTCTTGTTCCTGACGTTTCGGCCAACTTGAAGGACTTATTAGTATGGGTGGGTATTGGTGAGGGATTGACCCCTTAGAGATAAGCGAGATTTGATTTAGAGTACTGAAGAGAAGGGAACTAATAGGTGTCGAGTAAATAGGTAGCGTGGAAAATGTGGCCGCGCTTTGGCTGGCTCTTTGCGGATTTCATGAGAAGGGTATTAGTTTTTGGTGGGGGGGTTCCGAGAGGTGCGTATACGGCCAGAATCTTTGCTTCGCTTATTATAACTTTTGGTGTTTTGGTAAATCGGAAACCTCTTTCTTGTGGACATTGATTTTATGGAATGGCTAACAAGATCAATTAAGAATGCCAAATAGTTCAGTAATCCGAAAGGTAAAAAAGCCCAAGAGAGCCCAAAAACCTTAGAAAAGTGCAAAGTTGGTTAAACCAACAGCTACCAAAGCCGCTGCTCTAGCAGGGGAAAGGCTAGCAAATGCAGTCAAGATAGACAACCTGTAGAAAAGAGAAAAGGGCAAAGACATCAAAGAATATGGAACCAAGCCACCAGAAGCACCGAGGCCTTTTTTGCCCTAGTCAAGGAAGTCGAAGTTACCGAGCTAGGTGTCTGGGTCAGTGTTTCCGCGCTTCTTTCCGACCTAGACGCCTTCGTGTTAGCAGCACCGCTAAACGAGAAGATCCTCCACGCATACCACGCTATTGCCCTGACAGAGCGTCGAACCGAATTCTTTCCTGTGATGTGGGATTTTGCGCCCGAGGGAATGATAAAAGCGGATCCGCCGACACTGATTCAGTGCTGGTTCATGGGTACACATGCTGCTGTGGTGGGAGCCACGGTCAAGAGGGTGTGAAAATCGATGATCTTACGCTTTTGTGTGTGTTGGCGAAGGTAGATTGGTTGATAGATATTGATAACGCGCAGGTTGGAAAGTTCTTCTTGAATGAGAAGACGGGGAAGAAGGTAGGGAGTATCCGATTATTAATGGTTCGAAAGCGAAGCTGCTGGGCGGCTATAGCTATGAATTCTGGTAGTTTGGCTATGTCAATTGGGATAGAGTGTATTTAGGACCACTAACTGGGTTTGGGGTCGGGGAGAAGATTCTGTTAGTGTAAGGAAGTAGGGAGTATACAGAGATAAAGAGTCATGGTGAGGTTTTCGAGCAATTGTTTAATAAGAATCCGATTCAACCTATGCAGGGTTGGAACGTGAAGCAAGCGAAGAAGAGAAGATTAGAAGTAAGAATACCGAGAATGATGATGAAAGATGCGGTTGAAGACGAGGATGCTGAAGAAACCCCTGGATTTGGACCTTGGACTTGGAAGCTCAATGCCACGAGAGGGGCCGCTACGCCGTTATCGACCGGAGGCAAGACTTTGAGCAAAGCAAAATATATACCCGATGATATACCTTCACGTTATGAAGCTGAGAGACTACAAACCGCAAGTACAGAGCCCCCAGCCTTTGACCTTAAACACGCAAAAGATGAGCCGAGACGCGGCAGCTTCATGCCTTCCCACCCTCCTCCATCCTCTACTGCCTCACAGACAATCCAGATTTCGAAGACGGTCCTAAGGACAGTAAAGGCACTCATAAGAGGAACGTGCATAATGCGTGTGGGAGCGATCAAACTAGTGTGACTAGGAAGGATGAGTTGGAGGAGAAGAAGAAAGTTGAAGGGAAGGCGCCGGAGAGTAAGGTTGGTGCTTAGAAGGAGGCCCGGGCCGCTGCGGATGGGAATCGAGTGGGAAATGCTGGATTGTCTGATAAGAAGGGTAAGAGGCATGTGAGGAAGGTGCAACGAGTGTTGGGGTATGATGGGGCTTGTGGTAGATGACATGAGTTGTAGTCGGAAAACGATGTTTGTTATTCGCCTACGTTGATTGAGTATCGTGCGTTTCATCAATCAAATTGCGGAAAATTTGGCTATGATTCCTGGGAATGAACTATTTCACATCCTTTTTTGAAAGTTATTAAATGCAAATTGAAACACTAGTCGGAGTTCTGTGGGTGTAACCCACCACTCATAGTCCACTGGTGGACTAAGGGGCTAATGAGGTTCTGCTTTTTTAAAACAAAGTTTGATGTGAGAGTGAATTCGAGATTTCCTACATCTTAGTTTAGACTAGAAGTTGTAATGACTTTTGGGTAAGTGTTTTGGACCTTTTTGTGAGTATTCTAGGTTTTGAAGCTGGATATGTGAGATACCTATATCTAGGATGGCACTTCAATGTTCTTAATATAGTTCTATTAATCAAAAGTAAGACATTTATTTAACTAACACTTAACAACTAACAGCAGCTGTGTGATGTCCAGTCTTTTCTACTTAAACAGACAAATATATTTTACAACCCACATTCTATGTCATCCATGATCTTTTGTGTTATCTGTAAAGACTCCAGATACGACACAATTTTCTCCTTATCAGGAAAGAGTCTTAACCTGCTTTGTTGTTTTAGTTTTCAATATACCCAGCAGCACTTCTGCTAGAGTTTAATATTTTCTTACTATTTTCACGACAACATCATCCACAGGAATTTAAAACAACTACAACCTCAGATATAAACCGCTCAGACTAAAAGAGCTTTGTATCCTTTTCCACTGAAGACATAACCTGGCATTGGTCTAACTGAATCAACTCTAAAACGGAGATCTAAACTCGAAACTAAAACAACTGCCACTCCTCAGTGACATATTGTTCGTCACACTCAACTGCTTGTTCATCCCCGCCTTCTTATTCGACCTCCTCTTCCTCATCATCTGCTTCCTCTTCATTCTCATCAACATCCTCTCCAATTTTATCTTCTTTTCCACCTCCTTCCTGTCCATGTATGATTCGAGGGTTGAAAGCTGCGAATATGAGTTTCAATGTCACAAGCTGTTTACCTATCGGTTGCGAACATGGTTTCCTGTAAATAATCAAATAGAACTGCTAATCTCAAACGTTGACGGCAGAATGGTAATATCAGATATATTGAAACCTCAAACAACAACGTATTACCATATCGGTCGAGCTAGATAACCCTTGACCGTTGATCATAAGCCGCTTCATTAACATTACTCTTGACCATGGAACCGTGTGATCATTAAATCGTCTCGTCTTTAGATTTTGCATATATCGTTTGACTTATTAGCAGACGCTCCTGAGGAAATGGCTTGACGCTTGTCGGTTTGACAGCACGAGGCCCACGTTTGTCAAATGTTTATTGGCTCGGCGCCACCCGCACGACCCGGGAAACAGCAGCGCAGCAGCAACTGCAACCGATCCCAGTTCTCCCAGTTCTCGACAATTCAAGGTCGTTCCTGCCTCAATCACGTCATTGTTGTTGTTGTTGTCTTTCGCGATGCAGATGTGCAACTGGGTAACTCTTCGTCGGGCACTGTACTCTCTGATCCGTACGAACATGATTTCCCATCCAATGTTATGAAGCACCCACCACATTACCAGCACCACTCCGGTCGTTCTTCCTCTTGTTGATTCTTAATTTAATATCTACACCTTTCTCGCGGCTTATCGTGTTCCCTGCCGTCTACCAATACGTTGGAACAGGATCGAAACGCTGGTGCCTTGTTTGGGAGGCGAACCAGCTTCCCCCGCGAACCATCCCATCCTCGCATCCCCCATCTTGTTTGTACAACAGCTTCGTGCGACTTCGTTGGCTGTCGCGCCCCCCTTCGCTCTGATACGTCATGATCTGATCAAGATCTCTACAACGGCCGAGGGAACAAGGTCAGGGGAATCCGATCTTGGATAGCTTCCTGACCCGCGTGTGAGTGAGCACGGTTGGCGAGGATTCATAGATCTCCTCTCCCTTTTCCTCTTGCTCTTTCGAGCGACGATATGGTTCTACCAAACACAATGGCTTTAAACACGCCCAAACACGCGGTTGCGCTCCCCTCGCCGTCACGCATCATCGCAACGTTGTTTCTGCTCGGATTTCTGCATACCTCGAGCGCGTTTCATACCAATCGCATGTTCTCAACCGATCATACACTGCGTCCGCCGAGATGGGGACCTCCTACGAAGAGAGATGGAATGGCGCCGCTCAAAATCACGAATAAATGTCCCAATACCATCTGGCCAGGCATTGGTACCCAAGCCGGCACGGGACCTGGAATAGGAGGGTTTGAACTGGCCTCCGGCGCAAGCAGAGATTACACCGTGAGCAAGGACTGGCAAGGCAGAGTCTGGGGGAGGACGAATTGCAGCTTCAATCCGACTGGAGACGGCCCAGCAAACATCGCAGCGAACAACGGTGCTGCTTGCGACTCGGGAGATTGTCTAGGCGTGCTGAATTGTGTTGCTACAGTAAGGAGGATTTCGCTGTAACATGAGCATTTGCTAACGTGTGGTGGCAGGGAGTCGCGCCCGCAAGTCTCGCCGAATACGATCTCGCGGGCGGTGTTGGTGGGACGCAAGCTTTCTACGACATTTCTCTCGTTGACGGATATAATATCCCGATTGGGATCGTTTTCCTACCTGGCGACGATGTGAAGCTTCAGAAGGTCCCACCAAACCTAACTAATGCTGTGTGCATTGCAACTGCTGGCTATGCATCAGATCCCGCACCTTCTGGTACCAATGGAATGTCCTCGAACGCGTCCTATCCCGTTCCCTATGAACCAACACAAACGAATATGGACCTCGCAACGTGGTGTCCATGGGACTTTCTAGTTATCAAACCGGACAAGCCAGGAGACGGTGTCTACCCTTACCCCGACGACATGATCCAACGGCCTGTCTTTGATCCGTGCAAATCGGCATGTGCTGCAACGAATGCGCCTTCGGACTGTTGTACCGGAGCCTATAGTGATCATGGTGTGTGTATGCCAAATATGTATTCTCAGCAATCGAACAAGGTATGCCCTGACGCATACGGCTTTCCTTTCGACGATGAAGGAAGCACCTTCATTATTCCTACTGGTGGTGGGTTTGAAACCGTCTTCTGCCCCGAAGGTCGGAGCACAAACATCTTGAAAACTTTCAAACAACAGTTGCAGGATTTGACGGGCGCACCTGGTGTAGGGAAAGGGATGGATGCCATCGACCAAGATGCGCGAAATCTCACCATCATAATGAATGCCGCCAAGAAGTCGAGTGCGGAGAGGAGTAGAGGTGAAGCGTCAAATATGGGCAAGACGAGTATGTGTGCTATGGTTGTGGTGATTGCTTGGGCTGTGTTGTGGTAGGAAGTTGTATATGGGAAGTTTGGAGATGAGATGAGACGAGGCATGATTGGTTTGGTTTGTTTTTGTTACGATGACCTACGATACCCCTTGGTGTGGTATTTTTACCTACCTATAGTTTACGTTTGAACATGATTAGACGAAAAGAATGATTATATACCGTCCTACCACCCATTGCGAAGAAGTGATTTCGATTTTGCGACTCCGTGATTTACTAGCATCCTAATTACCACATATCATTAAATAGTCAATATTCAACATCCGATCCAATGGCTTAGGCACAAGTGCCAGCCAGCATTCACAAGGTCGCACGTCAAATTAAAGCATCACAGTAAAGAGTCAATAGCAACAATCTATCTATAACTTGCTCATCATTCTCATAATCACCCACACCATCACACATCTAAACCATGATTCATTACGCATCAAACCTACCCCCCAATTTTTCTCCAAGACTTGCTTGAACGCAATGCAACGCCCTCAAATGCACAGCCGCAAGGAGCCAGTGGTCATTCCTTGTTACAAATCCGAAGTCCCATCAGCCGAAGGCAGCGGAATAGCACGGTACAGCAGAATCAACGCCGAATGCGATTCTCCACCACCGGAAAGCGTTGCGATAGTATCGGCTTCAACCTCAGATACCTTGTCATCATCAAACCACCACCATTTGCCATCTTCCTCGCCGCGCCTGCCCGTCTTGGGATCGAGCGGTCCTTGCTTTTTGACAAACGACGTGTAGTGACCGCTATCCGCGCTGGCGCCTTTGTGGGTGACGACGCCGCGGAGTTCGTAGAGACCAGATTTGTTGGATCCTTCGTCGTCCAAGAGATCTTGGCTGATCAGAGAGTGAAGTTCCTTTTTGGCTTCCAGCAGCGCGGCAGCCTTTTCTGCGTCGATCTCGGCATCGGTTTTGTATACCACGTCTTCCATTTCAGTGTCTCCATCGGCGGTCTTGCCATCTTTCTTTTTTGAGTCTTTTTTGTCCACGGGCTTTTTATCGCTCTCATTTTTGGATGCGGAAACAGAGTCGACGATCCCCGCGGCAGCGTCGGCGGCTTCCTTGTCGCGGATTTTCTTCTGTCGTTTACGTGCTCTCTCGATATCTTCCTCGTCTTTTCGCACTTCGCGCACCTTGTCCCGGACTGGCACTAATTTTGCTCGAAGCTCGTCTGTACAGAACTCAACCATGTCTAGCTCGTGTGGAAATGTTACTTTTCGCATGATCTTGGTCTTGATACCCGAGTCGCCTGCACGCTCTTTCCAGCCAAATCGAACAAAGTGTACAGTGAGATATTTCGGCAATCGCGAGATGTGAGAGGTCCTTGTATAATGGCCACCACGCATCTCGATGTTAGCTACTCCGGCATCTTTAAGCCCATCTCTCAAGTGATTGGTCGTGCCTTTGATATTGCAATTTAGCTTCAGGAAAATCTCCTGCGTCGTTTCGCCCTCCTGATCAGCGGCACCTTCGTCTTGCTTTGTGACGATGGTGGTTCTGCCGGTCATGTACCTGTCAACAAAAGACAACGCATTGCTTTCACTGCTTTCACTGCTATTGGGATCCGACTTTTGTAGCAAGAGTTTCTGTTTGAGTTGTGTGATGATGTGGGACCATGCCTCTTCAGCATCTTGCTGGGCGTACCCATGACCATTTTTCGCCCTTTGAGCAAACTGCTGGTTTTCCGCCCGAAGAGCAAGGAGAAATACGTGGGGCGCAAAGTGCTCCTGCGTTTCCCCCATATATTTGTACAAGTCTCGCAGAGCAGCCGTTGTGTCCGCCGATGCGCCAGAGCCCGGTCTACCATACTTCACAAGCTCCTCCTGGAGTTCTGGAATAGTTCGAAGAGTTTGCAACGCCGAGTTTAAGTAACATGTGTTTCCCAAGTTTGTCAATCCAGCGGGGATTGCTCCCACCTGCTGGGCAGCTTCTGCTTCCGTCATGTCCTCGACGAATTTGATAGCCTCCTTCGGCCTGCTCAGGGCGGTCGCTCCAGATCTGGGTGTTCCAATCATCATAAACTCTTGTCCGGGTTTCGCGTTGAGTTTCGAAAGCTCCATGTCATCTTTCAGCTGGCCGCCCTTCACGAGAATCTTCTGGCGGTCTGGTTCGACATTGGTGACGGAGTAGACCTGGAGCTTGAAGACCTCGCCGTTGGTGGACGGGTCAAGATCCACATTGTGCTTCTTGCCCTGATGCTTGATAACAACTATATGGAGTGTTAGCAGTCTCGAGCATGGCATGGGAAGGGTTTATCAAACCGGGAATTGTCGCCATGGTGGCGGGGGGTGGTGGGCGCGAGATTGAAGATTTGATCCTGTTCTTCCTCGAAGAAATGCGTGGGCAAAAGACAGGTGGAAGCTTGATTAATGGATCACCACTCTATGAAACTAATTGTTCGATTCGACCACAAGCAGAAACACAAGCAGCGGGTGTGCTCGAATCTAGAAAACAAACAGCTTCGAGGATGCAGCGAGCAAGGCTAGCGTAGATGGTCCGTGCTCTGACGAACGACGTACACAGAAGTGCCTGGAAGAATCAGATTAGATTCTTGCTGCGCGGGTCGCTTCGAAACCAGCATTTACGCTCCTTAATCCACCTCTCGTTATTCCGTGAGGAGAACTTAAGCAAAAGGTATGGAGGACGTCCATTGACTATTGGTTGCCCGAAGGCGACAGCTTTCTGTCTATTGTAACTAGTTAACCCTTGTGCACTTGGCTCCCTTATAGGAGTAAAGGAGCTTAGCTGCCTTACCTTCCCCGTGCTCTTGCTGCATGTAGCTTTCTTCACCTTCTTTTCGTGTCAAATAGCTGGAGATACTGGCCGATGATTATGTAAGTCCTTACAGAAGCTTCTCCTTCCAACTCTCGATACTCGTGTTGGTATACAATCAGTAACAAATAAATAACCCAACGTGCTAGGTACCTTACCTACCTATGTAGCAGATCACCCCAAAGTTAACCGAAAGAGGAAATATCGGACAACAACCTAAGGGGAATCGAAACTGCACCATCAGTGGCATAGCCATGTCTGTTGACTAAACTAAATCGTCTAGAATAGTATTCTACTCGGCCATTTAGCTTCCGAGCATTAATCGTCCTCTAAAATGTCATGTCTTCACAGATACCGGGGCGGCTGTATTCGCAATTTGCGTCATCTTATCGATTTTATTCAGGGGGTCCCCGCTACAGGACCCCGCGAGAGCAAAATTCGAAAAGTGACTCAAGAATGTTTGACGCCCACCACCGTACCTCTACGTACAACCAATTGCTTTTATAAATACATCTGCTAGACCTCGCTCGCCACTTAGGCGTTCTTTGACCTCCGCGCTTTTCAATTTCTTCGCTCCCACAAAAAGCAATTACAACCCCCGGGTTTCTCTAACCCCGCATTCCAATATGCCCATGTAAGAACATATGCGCCTGGTGGTATGAAATGCCACGCTCTAACAATCTGAACCCTCAGGCTTAAAGATCCGTCAAAGAAGTACAAAGCCTTCAAGCCACTCGATTTACCAGATAGGCAATGGCCATCCAAGACCATTGACAAGCCTCCACGATGGCTCTCGACCGATTTGCGCGATGGGAACCAGAGCTTGGTAGATCCCATGGTACAGCACACCGCAGAGCACAACTTAAATCACAGAAGCTAATGAACCCAACTATAGGATGGCGAGCAGAAATGGCTTTACTTCAAGATGCTAGTCGAGCTGGGTTACAAAGAAATTGAAGTATCGTTTCCCTCAGCGTCCCAGACCGATTTCGACTTTACGAGACGTCTCGTAGAAACACCGGGCGCGGTCCCCGACGATGTTTGGCTCCAAGTCCTCTCACCTTGTCGCGAGGAGTTGATCAAGCGGAGCGTTGATTCCCTCAAAGGCGCGAAAAAGGCTCTGCTACACATTTACGTTGCGACCAGCGATTGCTTTCGGCGGATAGTGTTTGGCATGACGGAGGAGCAAAACCTGGAGTTAGCAGTCAAATGCACGAAATATGCTAGGTCGATTACGAAAGATGACCCCACACAGGCCGGGACAGAATGGGCCTTTGAATTCAGTCCAGAAACATTTTCCGACACTAGCCCTGAGTTTGCAGTTCGAATATGCGAGGCTGTTAAGGAGGCTTGGGAACCAACGAGTGAGAACCCAATCATCTTCAACCTTCCTGCGACAGTTGAAATGTCAACCCCGAATGTATACGCAGACCAAATCGAGTATTTTTGCAGGAACGTAACCGAGAGAGAAAAGATATGCGTGTCTCTACACCCGCACAACGACAGGGGATGCGCTGTTGCGGCCGCAGAACTAGCACAAATGGCCGGAGCGGATCGAGTCGAGGGTTGTCTGTTCGGAAACGGGGAGAGGACTGGAAATGTGGATCTTGTCACGTTGGCCTTGAACCTCTATACTCAAGGGATACATCCAAACATTGATTTCTCGGACTTGAATCGCGTGATTGACGTCGTGGAAGTCAGCAACAAAATCCCAGTCCATCCTCGAGCGCCATATGGCGGCTCGCTTGTGGTGTGCGCTTTCAGTGGCTCTCACCAAGATGCTATCAAAAAGGGCTTTCAGGCTAGGAAACAGGCTGGCGCTACGGACGATGACAGATGGCAACTTCCATATCTTCCTCTTGATCCACAAGATATCGGCCGAACATATGAAGCCATTATTCGTGTCAATTCCCAGAGTGGAAAGGGTGGAGCCGCGTGGATCATTCTTCGAAACCTTGAGCTCGACCTTCCCCGTGGCTTGCAGGTAGCATTCAGCAAAATCGTACAGAAGCATGCCGATAAGGTTGGTCGAGAGCTTTTATCCCACGAGATTCAAGATCTTTTTGAAAAGACATACTTCATCAAAGACAACCCAAGATTTACCCTGCTGGATTACAGCATCAGAACAGATCGATCGATGTCTCCCGCGCCGCCTGCGCCAGGTAAAACACAAGATACGAAGAACCTCAAGCGAATATTCGAGGGTGTCATTTCCATTGATGGCGAAGAGAGACCACTTAAGGGAATTGGAAATGGCCCTATTTCAAGCTTGGCTAACGCATTATCGTCAGTGGGCATTGAGTTAGATGTCGCCGATTATAAAGAGCATGCTATAGGCTCTAGTCGAGATTCCAAGGCTGCTTCGTATGTAGAGTGTACAGCTGCAGGATCAACACAAAAGGTCTGGGGTGTCGGCATCCATGAAGACGTGGTACAGAGCTCTTTAATCGCCTTGTTGAGCGCTGCTAGCAATGTAAGCCCTTTCCTCCCTGCTACACCAAAAAATCCTGACCAAGAGCAGTTCATGACTACTCGGCCCAATACTCCTCTCCTATTCCGAGGCAAACATGGTCCGTCAATCAGCCAAGATATAGATCTCAACCGGAGCGCAAGAAATCCGAAAGGCGACACAAACCTGTCTATTCCCAAGCCCAATGGCGCCCCAGCGAGTGGTCCAGACGCCTCGAATATCATCAGCATATTAGAGGAGAAGGCGAACGGGATGTAAAGTGCAACTGCGGGGCTCACACAGCGGGACGAACCTCTGTTGATTGTTGGAGGGGTAGTTTCAGATGTTGACCTTGTTCCACGATGGCGCATGGGCAGCTTGAGTTTGTGGCGGGGAAAAGTAGCAAAATTGAGCAGCGTTGAATGCGTGAAATTTAGCAAATACACCTCCTGTATATTCCCCAAGCTTTGCACCAAAATTTTAATAATACAGTAATGACACTCTAATCATGACCCAATCCAGTACCCCCCCTACGGGTAGAGAGGTAGATCAGGGGCGTGAAATTATGCACGTGACTGGACCCTAATTTTTGCAAGTGGCGGTAATTTGGCACTAGGGTCGCATCGGAAATAGTGCGAAAGACGTCGAATTATGTGGGCAGAATCAACAATCCAATCTGGACAATAAAATTCCACTCTGCAAAACACCAAAGCAAAACAGTATTCTCCCATCGGCTTCTGTCGGTTTCTAACACTCTCTTGGCCAGTTTTACGGCATTTTCCTTCTCACCAAAGCTGCTGTCACCGTACCTGGGAAACAGCCCTGCAACGAGCTGCACCTGCGAAGCCTAGTCGACAGCAAGACGGATTTCGCTTCTGACAGGGCCATCTTCGAGAGATTCTCGACGGCTTGACCTCCGACATTCACCACACAATCTCCTACAGGTCGAACGTTCACTCCTGTGCACTTTCTTCATCTCCATCAGGATAACATCAACCACGCAATCACAATATCCAATAGACTCACAGCGCACCGGCTGTGAACCGCGAAGATGGATGTCAATTCGGTGCTTCTCAACACATTCTCCGCAGGTCAGTGCGAGTCATTCGAGCTTCGATGGATGGCAACACTGGATGATGAGGATGCTGACTTGTCCCAGATGCGACGACACGAAACAACGCAGAACAGCAACTCACACAAGCTGCCGAGTCGAACTTCGTGAGTCCCCAGAGCCTTGACCGCAAGTGTCATCTGCGCGAACAGCAGACTGCTAATACCATCTCCCTAGGCTGAATACCTCGTAATACTCGTACAACAACTTGCGAACGAGGAGGCACAGGGTCCTGTTCGCGCTGCTGCTGGCATTGCGCTCAAGAACGCCTTCACCGCACGCGAATTTGCCCGATTACACGATTTGCAAGAGAAATGGCTGCAGCAGGACGCGGAAACGAAGAAGAGAGTCAAGAACTTGACCCTCGGAGCTCTCGCCAGCAGCAACAGTCAAGCTGGGCAAGCGGCTGCTCAAGTGGTTGCTGCTGTGGCAGCTATCGAAATTCCACGAGACCAGTGGCCAGAGCTTATGCCTACATTGGTGCGAAATGTTGGCGAGGGCGGTGATCATCTCAAGCAGACTTCGTTAACCACGATCGGATTTATCTGCGAGAGTCAGGACGCCGAATTGCGAAGCAGTCTCATTCAACACTCCAATGCCATCTTGACTGCGGTCGTCCAGGGCGCCAGAAAGGAGGAGCCAAACGCAGAAGTGCGGCTTGCCGCCATCTATGCGCTTGGGGACTCTCTCGAATTCGTAGACAGCAACTTCAGAAATGAAGGTGAGCGGAATTACATCATGCAGGTCATCTGCGAAGCTACACAAGCACCGGACACCAGAATACAACAGGGCGCGTTTGGATGTTTGAATAGGATTATGTCGTTGTACTATGAGCTCATGCGCTTCTACATGGAGAAGGCGCTCTTTGGCCTCACAATCATGGGCATGAAAAGCGACGAAGAGGACGTTGCCAAGCTTGCGGTAGAATTCTGGAGTACCGTGTGTGAGGAGGAAATTGCAATTGAAGATGACAATGCACAGGTATGGAATGGCTCAGCTTCACGTTGGACTAACTAATATTGGTGACAGATTGAGAATCCTGATGAGCTGCGACAGATTTTCCACTTTTCCAACGTCGCTACTAACGAGGTGGTTCCAGTTCTTCTCACACTATTGACCAAACAAGACGAGGACGCTGCAGATGATGAGTACAATCTTTCCAGAGCTGCCTACCAATGTCTTCAACTTTACGCCCAGGCAGTTGCCGGTTCCATCATCTCTCCCGTATTAGCTTTCGTCGAGGCAAATCTTAGACACGAAGATTGGCACAACAGAGATGCTGCGGTTTCCGCTTTTGGCGCAATCATGGAGGGCCCAGATGACAAGACTATCGAGCCCATCGTCAAGCAAGCTCTTCCAGTCATCATCAGTATGATGGACGACAAAGTAATCCATGTTACCGACTCTACCGCATATGCTCTTGGCCGCATCACAGAAGCTTGCTCCGAGGCTATTGACCCTGTGGCCCATCTACCAAAGTTGATCGCCTCTCTCTTTGGTGGCCTTGTCAGTAGTCCAAAAATGGCAGGGTCATGCTGTTGGGCTTTAATGAATCTTGCGGAGAGGTTCTCTGGTGAAATTGGCTGCGAAGAAAATGCCTTAACTCCACATTTCAACGAGAGCATCACACGCCTTCTCCAAGTCACCGAACGCGGTGATGCAGACAACCAACTTCGAACAGCAGCCTACGAAGTCCTCAACACTTTTGTTCAAAATGCTGCCAACCAAAGCCTGGGGTCCGTTGCTTCGCTTTCAGACGTCATAATCAAGCGCCTCGAAAGTACGATACCTCTGCAAGCACAAGTCGTTAGCGTCGAAGACAAGATTACTCTGGAAGAAATGCAGACCAGTCTTTGCACGGTTTTGTTGGCAATCATCCAGCGCCTGGAGAAAGAGATTGCACCCCAAGCAAATCGCATCATGACGGTCCTGCTACAGATACTTACGAATTCTGGACCTAAATCTAGCGTGCCTGACGCTGTTTTTGCCACTGTTAGCTCTTTGGCAAACGCTCTGGAGGAGGAGTTCTCCCCGTACATGGAGGCTTTCTCACCATTTCTCTACAACGCTCTTGGTAACCAAGAAGAACCAGCACTTTGTTCCATGGCAATTGGTCTTGTTAGCGACATCACTCGCTCCCTGGGTCCACTATGCCAGCCATATTGTGATACATTTATGAACTATTTATTGAATAATCTACGGGTATGTACTTCACCTTTCTCCTGTCGGCATTGTTTCTTCATGAGAACGCAATGCTTCCTTTACAGTTTCTGTGTCGATCTGGCCTTGAGTCTAGAAATTGATTCGAATTTTGTGCCTGACATATTACAGAGTACCGCGCTCGCAAACCAATTCAAGCCTGCAATCCTCCAGTGCTTTGGTGATATTGCTGGTGCCATTAGTGGCCACTTCGAAACGTATCTTTCAGTCGTTGCTCAAGTTCTTCAGCAGGCAGCTGGTGTTCAAGCAAGCCCAGACGGTTCGTATGAGATGTTCGACTATGTCATCTCGTTGCGCGAGGGTATCATGGATGCGTGGGGCGGAATTATCGGTGCCATGAAAGTCAGCAACAAAAGTAAGAAGTACTGTGTTGTATTACTTGACTCTTGCTAATGCTTCCATAGCCGCACTTCTGACTCCATATGTTGAATCCGTATTTACTCTCCTGAATACCGTTTATCTTGACCCAAGTCGAAGCGATGCGTTGATGAGATCTTCTATGGGTGTTATCGGGTATGTCATAGAATTCTATCTCTGCTCCAAGCATCTGCGCTAACTTTTGTAGTGATCTCTCTGACGCATTCCCCAATGGAGAATTTGCTGGTTTCTATCGAGCAGATTGGTTGACTGCGATGATCAAGGATACCAAACAGAATCGCGAGTTCCAAACACGAACAATCGAGACCGCCAGATGGGCACGAGAACAAGTGAAACGTCAGATCGGGCTAGGCACCCAACAAACCTGAGCCGCCTCCCCATTTCCGCGTGCAATATTATCATTTTAGCGTTCCCTTCCCTAGGATTATCGCAATTACGTCTACACATAGAGCTCGGGGCGGAATACCATTTTTTTGCATTATATTTTCTCCCGACTGGTCAACAAAAGAGGGGTCTTGTCCTCGATCAGCGACGTTTCTACTTGTTCACAGCCATAATCAGTCCAGCTGTACGTTTACGTCAACACATATGACCCAAGATCTCGAATTCCGGCGAAGTCGACTGCGAATCAAAAATGGATCCGTGGGGAAAAGTTTGTACGGTACAGCAAGACACAATTATCACCAACCAGCACTATAAACACAACAATTGTACAAAACACTCTACGACCCCTTTACGCACCGCGCCAATACCCCCGTTTATTTCATTCTGCAGCTCCGATTCGATCCTTTCGGTGAGACAAAACCACAAATCGACGACCGGAGATTTTACCAAAACACAAGCCGCTGAAATAACTCATGTAATTCTTCCAATCTCTTGCTGAACAAGACACTGTGCAGGAAGGAGGAGGATAGAAAATCTTTTATGTATGACCGTACAATGATCGACCATATAAGTCCTTTGTCGGTTGCTTGGCTGGCTGGCAAGCAATAACTTTGCTTTAGGATAATGAAGTGGGTGGAATCGAGGGTGAAAGAGAGACAGACATGTCATTAACGATCATGTATGCACGGAAATGGCGTCCCTGGATATGCGTCAAGTGATGCCACCAGGAGCCGCGTATTTACCGTATTTTTGGGAGAGTGTTCGGCGTTACACAAGTTGGTGGTGGTGGTTCGACCAAGTGGTGGAAAACAGATGAGATGATATAAATGAAATGAAACCCCCTTATAATAATTGTGACTACTTCGTTCTGCAACGAGCCCAATGGGGAAAGATTAAAAGGAGTAAGGTCTCCGTTCACTAGGAGGCCGAAATTTTGTGCTGTGGCAGAACACAGGTTTACGGGGTTCAGATTATGCTTCTGTCGTACCACTTAATTGCAATAATCAGTCGTCTAAATCTTCACGCACTGACAATATGCTCGACTGTAGGAGGTTTTGTGATGTGTGCTTCAAAATTTAGATAAGTTTAGGTTTGCCGCACTCTGTCTTTTTCCATGCGCAAAGCTCTAGACATCGTGACCGCAACTTCCAGCATGCCCTTCTTGTCCCTCGAGATCAGCTGTGTCGGTCCACTCCAGCCCTCTTGGAGCAAAGAGCTGCGTTTCTCCAATAGTCTCACTTCTGGCGACTGGTGCTTTGGGAATAAGTCTTTTACCATTAAGAGCGAGGGTAGCTAAAACATGTGCTGCAGTCTGAAATTATTTCGTTAGCTACTAAGCCATTAGTGAGGAAGGAACGCTTACCTTTGCATTGATAGCCAGAACAGTCGAGTTTGGATTTGCATAGGTATCACATGCTTGGTGATAACATGGATCTTCTGCTTCCCCAGTTCCAGTGAAGAGACCACCAACTGGTTTCTTCAAGTTGTCCAAGAAACTCGCATAATCGCTGCCACCACTGAACGCGGCTGGTGTCACTGACAGTCCCTTTGAGGTCAGGTCGTCCACGAAGATCTTCTCGATAACTTCAGATCCAGATGGACCAACGAGGCCATAGGTAGATCCGTCTCCATCGAAGACACCGAAGAATCCTTTAGATACCATGTCGAAGTTAAGGTAGGCGAGGAGGTTAGTCACATTGGCGGTGCCCATGTTGGCGGTGTAGTATCGAGATCCCACAAGTCCGTTCTCTTCGGCGCCCCACCAGGCGAAGCGGACTTTGAGGTTTGTTTGGTAGCTTTGTAACGCTGTGAAGAGCTCTAGAATAAGGGTCGTGCCGGATCCGTCATCGTTAATGCCTGGCCCGGCTTGGACACTGTCCAAATGGGCACCGAGCTGAAGAATTAGCTATCAGATCATGTTTACAAAGGGAAAGCTCACCATAAGGACATTTTTGGGATCGCCACCTTTAGTTTCGGCAATGACATTCTGAGAGATTCTGGTCTCAACTATTTGAGTCTGTTGGAAGTGAGCTGTGATTGTCTCCCCAGCAGTAATTCTCGCGACCAACGGCAGACCATCTACGCGGTCGATAAACCCACCAGGAACGAAGTGGTCTGGATCAGGCGCTGAAAGTGTACCGGCAGTAGTATGAGCATTCACGTTGTTATAGATAATAACGGCAGCAGCACCCGCAGCAGCTGCAGGACGGATACGGCCAGCGAGAGTTCCTCCAGTAGGGCAGGTACCACGCTCGACTAGGACAATTTTTCCAGTCACATTAAAACCAGCGTAACCCTCGACAGTACAACCTGGAGCACCTGTCGGCCCAAGAACAAGTGGTAGAGTGAGACCAGCAGCCGAGGTGGATGGTGAGTATGTCAATCCAAAGACATGGTAGCTCACATTGCTGACGGTGAAGTCAATGGACTCAACGATGCTGAATAGTCCAGGGAAGTCTTGGACATAATACGTTGAGGTTGCAGTGTGCTTCTCTAAGCGGTCTTTAATAAAGTCCACCGATTCGGCATAACCGGATAGGCCAAAAGCTCGATTGCCATTGTTGCGATCCGCAATCTTTTGCAAGTTTTCAAGATTTTTCATCAATCTACACTCGTTAATTTCTGTCTTATATTCCTAACCAACAGATTTGGCCTTACGCCTGTTCACTGATGTCCCTCTGAAGGTTTTCAGAGGTCACAAATTTCGGCCCAGCGCGAGGAGCATTGTATGATGGCAGCGGAGGCGATGCAACTACAACAGCCGCCAGCGACACTGTACTCAGGATGATTGATTGAAGACCTTTCATCTTGTCAGCTGCGTGTCAAAGAGACGAATGTTCTTTTGAAAAAACCAGTATCTGGGAGACTCACATTAATAGGCATTCAATCTCGATCTGCGTCACAGCTTATCGCTTGCCTTGCGGCAATTAGAGTGGCGTGCGAAGCTTGCTATCTCTTGTTACCTTCTCGAAAAGTGTTATTATGCGGGGTCGAGATGCAAAATCAGATGGGGAAATTCCCGGTAAGTGTGTAAAATGTCTTGGTATCTTGGAGCCAAGGGTTGTTTGGCTTCGTGATTTATCCTTTCGCTGCAGGTGTCCTGACGGCCGCTTTACCAGTAATTGATGTCTTGAAACACAAGAAATATTCCTACTGGTCACTTAATACAATAGTAGAAGCAGCTGGCTAGGACGGCTCGATCGTGAACTGTAATTCGATGCCTGGGACCGAATATCTTGGCCAAGAATTTCGAAGAAGTCGTTGAACCCAGCCTAACCCCTGACGGCTCGCTTAGTTCTTCTCCGTAACTACACCACCTGTTCAGTTCCAGATGCTCAATAATCCAATTCAGTGGAGGAGGTAACTCTGATTTAAAAAAGGGCGTTTCGAGGAAATGTATAATTGTTTGAAAACTTTTGTGGTGGGAAGTTTTAGTGTCGAGGGATCCGAAAAAAATGTGAGATTACGATAATTACCTCTAAGCCATCTTCGCGCTCGGTCTCTAGCTAAGACGTCAATATCCCTATCAAATTTTTCTTCTACACTAAATGAGGAGCTTGAAGGGTTTTTGTAGTGTCTTATGCTAGTCTTTAAAAGCATCAGAAGTTCAGTCATGTTTTTTGGTATTAGTTTCCAGCCTAAAATTAGTCAACAGTGATCCTTATATCGCATTGCTTCACGTCCCCGACGACAACATGTCTAGCGATAGCCTTGACGGTATGTTGTGCGGAACCAGGTTTCGAAACGCCCACAGTTGATGTTCCAAAAGAACTCCGTACACAGCTATTCTGGTCGGCGTCCCTGGTTAGAATCTCATCACGATTATCGTGGCACAACAGGATGGCCTTGTGTAGTGACATTTCCGCTGGTACGCTATGCAACTTTAACCATTTATCGAATCCTTGCTGGACGATTAGTGCAATCCTATGACTGGTGTCTATATGCTCAAAGAGCAGTGCAGCACATCCCCGGCTTAATCAAGCGAAAGGTCTAATGTTCGACTGAATTGCGACCCTCTCCACATATATTCCGCGGTATGAGGCAGAGACTCTCTCAACTCGTAACAGAACTTTGCAAGCAGCCAGAATGTTGCACTTATCTTTTTACAAAGAATCTTAGACGGCAATGATCTTTCGATGTCGAACTTGATAACAGCCGGATCTATTATATATATCTCAACCGGGTCTTTCTCACACACGACGCGCTCTCCCTGCCAGAGTGAAGTTCCGGACCTCACAAAATAGTTTCCTGAAACACGACTCAAGAAAATTCCGAGATATCTCCCGTCGTCAGAGTAGCAGTCAAGATATGCAACTGCTGGCTCTGGTGACGACGTTGAATTCAAATGAAGTTCCATTCTAAGACCGCGGTTTGTTGTGGAAAATCGGGGCTTGAATTGCCCCGGCGAAGAGGGATGTTGTTTGACGGTTCCGTATGCTTCAAACTCGTCGGGATATCTCGCCACAGCTCCACGATCTCCCCGCCAACCTGTCCATGTAAACAGACTTTGGTCATCAAAGATCTTGATAATCTCATGCTGTAACCGAGTGAAGGCTTTTTCGCCTTCTCCATAAATCATAGGCATATTGACATTGAACAGACCAATTAAGCTATAAGCTCTGTCTTCCACTCTAGTGGTCTTTCTCTTGGATGCCCAATACATGATCTGTGCCACTGAAACCTGTTCTACAGCACAATTCAGCAGAATCGAGGTTGGGATCTTGGTAACATTGCTGATCAATCTGCTCAAATTTTCTTTTGTGCCAATGGTTTCCCACTGACTGTCAAGGAAAACGACAGACAATGGCGCGAGAAGCTCTTGTAAAGTCCAACCTCCAGTGAACCATTTACTTTGAGATACCTTTCGGTCCACTAGCTCTGGATGGTCCGAGAGTGCGATCGAGACATCGCTCAGATAGGCGTAACATCCAATCGCGCACCTATACCAATTGAACATCGAGTTTATCGCCTCTGATAGCTCAGTCCTGTTTGTTTTGTCGATACAACACGTATCGATCCAGACATATTCGAATCCGTTGCGAGATGCCTGACCGCAACAAGCTATGATCTTTTGCATTCCTTTCTGTTGCGTGTTGCGTGAACGAATGCCGCCAATCTTGTGTATTTCCTGGGAGATACTTCGTCCGCACCCCAAGTGTGAGACAGGATTGCATACCCTCCCGCTGCCTGAGCTGCCTCCTGGTCGGTGAAGAAACGAAGCTCGATCTGGCCAGTGTGTAGAAGCCACATATTGACGGAGGAACGTATCCCAACGAGATCATCGACGATCGGCTAGATGGGCCATAGAGGGCGAGAAGATGCCGATGCGACTGGCGCTATGTCCGAAGACGCATGCTGGCGAGCTAGTGCGCCACAACTCTAGTGAAGTCGAAATGAAATAAAGACTGGGTTCCAGGTTAGTGTTGTGTTCTCGTTAATCTCGTAGTCACATCAGACGACCCCGACTTATGTTTACGCAACATCAGGCTCCATCGGCTCGACGCAAATATGTGTGGATGCAATGTACGGATGTTGAACATGTCCTTCACCTCGCGCTCAACTCGCTGCCTTTGATGGTTACATTAAAGCCCGCAAATGTTGCCGCGACCTGACTCGGAATCAGAGACAAGATGAGCTACCTGTATAACAGGCTTTGAGTCATGAAAGAGTAAAGCCAGCAAAAAGAGGGGCCACGTATTCTTCCCGATGTCGACGGTTGCAAGGGAATAGATGGCTGGATAGGTGGATGATAAAGTCTGGCATGCCAGAGATTTCTTATAAGAAGAGGTACGTAGGCAGAATGATCGGCGTGAATTCAAGGTAGCACGAAATGGCGGTAATCATGAAACGTTGGCCGAGCCTGTCATTATGGAAGAGCATCGGATCGACAAGGATGATTCTACCTGTAACGTGGAGTTGCAAGCAAACAGATCGGACGGACATGATGATACGATGTCCTTTCATTTCTTTGAATTCGTGTGACAGCCAACTGCTTTTGAGGGTAGAGCCAGCCTCCCACTTTCATCACCACTGGATAATTCGGGAGGCACTCCAACAGGCTTGAAAGCATAAGAGCAGTCAGGACTAATACTTGATAGTTTAGTTCTTTGGAAATAGAAAAGTACACAACAACGAACTTGTCTTGTCCTCCGATCCCCACGACACGCGTTCTTCAACGAAGGCATGGCTTGGCAATGACTATCATGCCCTTCACGTAGAATTGAAAGGACGGAAATAATATGGCAAACAACAAAGAAAGGTGGTTGGCGTGTCTTGGTAATAATCATCTTGTGGACTGGATGGAGCGTGGCTATGCAAAAAGACGAGAAGACTCGAAAGAATTGCCAAGGGATGACGACCACGCAACGCGCAATTGACCGCCACGTAGGGAATGCAAAAGACTCTGCTCCTTGCGTGTGTAGAGCAGGCATGAAAGAGAACCAAAATACATAGGTATGTACCTAGGTAGACATCGTTTGGAACAACTAGAGCCGCGATAACCAGACAGACGACGTTGGAATTGAGTAGGTGTAGGTCCCTCGGGTTGTAAGTAGGTCTAGGTCTACAACTAGGAAGGCTAAGGGCTAAGAAAGGACCCTGGATCCACCAATTGCTCTGCTGAAGCCGCTGCAGCGCCCGCACCAACCACGTCCCACTCCACTGATCCCGCTCCGTGGTCACTCGATTACGCCGTAGCCGCCGCCTACAACTTGCGACTCACTTACAACTTACCAAAGATCACCCCAACGAGCGACGACACTTCTCCCATTTCTCTGCAGGAGTTTGAAGCTCTTGTTGCATATCTCCAATTACGCCGTATACGCACAACCACCGAAATGAAGGCTATGAAGAGCATGAACGTGGGCCGCATGATGGGCTCGTTGAAGCGCAAACGTAAGACCACTGGCGCGACAGTTGATACACGCCAAATGCTGACTTCTCTTCACAGCCAAAGACAATGACCCCCCGAGTGCAGCACCCGTGCTAGAAAATGGACTGGATACGCCAGAAGCCAACGCAGTCAAAAATGCGGTATGTCAGCGAAGACCAGTTTCCCGCTCCGTGAAGCGCGGCTAATCCGCGCCCAGCGACTATTCTGCGAGTCTGGAGGCCCAAATGGCTCAGTATGTTCATTCTTGCATTAGAGAGATCTACTGGAGCTGACATGTTCCAGGGCGAAGAAGTGCTGTTCCTGCCATCAATTGTCGAAGCATGCGAATCCTCTCCCGGCGCTGCGAAAGAGGCAGCATACACGATCCGCAAATTCCTCTCCAAAGACAACTTCGCCAGACCGCACGTTCAGTACAATGCTATCATGTTGATTCGGATTCTCTCAGACAACCCAGGGAGGACGTTTACGAGAAACATGGACTCCAAATTTGTTCAAACGGTTAAAGAATTACTACGCGTGGGGAGGGATCCAAGTGTCAAGCAGATATTGATGGAAACATTAGACACTTTTCAACGGGAAAAGGCGAACGACGAAGGCTGCGCTATGCTGAATGAGATGTGGAAGAAAGAACACGAAAGGATAGAAAAAATCCTTGTAAGGGCACACATTTCACAGCAACGCCGTCCATGCTGACGTTTTTATAGGGCCCAGTTGGATCGCGACCAGTGCCGTCGGTTGCGAACGCCCACAGCCAGAACTACTTTGCACGAAACCACCATACCAAACGCCTTCCGCCTCCGCACGAGCTGTCATCACGTATCGAAGAAGCCCGTACGTCCGCCCAGTTGCTTTCCCAAACTGTACAAAGCACTCCGCCCTCGGAGCTGCTACACAATGAACTTGTGCGCGAATTCGCCGACCGATGCCAGAGCGCGAGCAGAAGCGTACAGGCATATATGATATCAGAAAATCCTGCGCCGGATAACGACACAATGTTGACCCTGATTGAGACAAATGAACAACTGAACAACTCTATGAATCAACATCAACGGGCTGTTCTATCAGCAAGGAAGGCGATGGGTCTTGGGAACGGCCAGACACCACCACCACGAACCGATTCTGGGTTTGCGCCTCCGCCTGGTCCACCACCCCCTCGTACCGATTCTGGGTTCGCCGCTCCACCAGGACCACCACCACCACGTACCGAACCAGCCAAAAAGAACTTCCCAGAAGTACCTCCACCTGGTGATTTTGCACCTACCGGGCTACCGGATGATTCTGAAGATCCATTCGCAGACCCGAAAGAAAGTAAAGTCTCGAGCCAAAACCCCCCGTTTCCCAAAGATCAGCCACCCAAGCTTACTGGTCAATTCAATGACCAGTTAGGTGTGGAACCGTACCATCCAGGATTCAAGGAAACACCAAGTTATACGGGACGTCAAGACAGTTCTCTTGGGAATACTACAATGCATGCTGCCATAATTGAGCGAAGGGACTCACCAGAGCCTCGAGATACGACTGTTTCTGATGGTTATGGCGTCCAGCCCAAGACAAAAGCCCCAACGTACAAATATTAAGCTCTTGAACTTGTTGGACCTCACTTGACTTCAAGGGTTCAGGCGTTTTCTTTCGCAGTGAGAGGGAGGAGGGGCTGTGCGAGATTGATGTTCTTAGGGTTGCATTTTTAGCGTATGCCTTTAATGAGCGGCCATTTTCAATTTGTAGATCAATCCACCATATGTGCGAAAGTACAATAGTTCATTCCGACTTGAAGTGGAAAATGGAAAAGGGATAGGAGTATTTGCTTGATACCAATTTATTCTAGACTTTCCACGAAGCGTCGTATGTTATGAAATAACTGTGCTTTGACTGACCTGCAATACTTTGGCTACCTAGATTGCTTGAATGGGCAGGCCCTCGCAGTGGATGTAACAAGTCACCATCAGAATATATCAGAAATTTAATTGAGTTGAACGAAGGTCCTGAATTTGATCTATTAATTCCAGGTGATAAGATCCATCCCGTTGATCAGGCAGTCGAGAGTTATTGCTTGTTGTGCTCTGCGAGGTCATCCAATACCCGCAATTGATTCCGTCTTTGTACATATGGCCCGTAGGCTGCGCAACACATCTAATTTAGAGCGATGTCCTCGACCACTCTTGAGAGGTGCTCATGAACCCATTTAAGTCCTCAAGAGATCCAGATGAGGCATTGCTTCGTCTATAGGAGTAGAGACGATATGCTTGACGACGTTGACGGGGAGATTCGCTCCTGAAGCGCATCTTTAACCAACTAACAGGTTAGAGATGTGTGATTGAAATTGAGTATAATTGATCTTTGTATCATATCGACGGCTCATATGACCAAGGCTGTTGTGCTGCTACTCCAATTTGCATCGCACATTCGACACCGAAGAGACGAATCCTTATTGAGTTGCTACATATTGAGTCGCTGAACGGCGGGATTCACGGGAACTTTATGGCAGCAAAATTGGGTTCAACATAGACAAATAGAAGCATTGTGGAACAGATGATATGTCGATACACAAATCAAGAAAACCACAATCACAATTTTATCAAGTCCGACGGACGACGACGATGTTCACAAGCAAATTTCCATTCATGTCTATCCGAAACCCTAATCAAGTCCAATGATTCGCCATCTACAACGCCAAAAACAAAAACGCGAACTTGTCTAGACTCCTTCCCAGTGTCATAGTAGCAACTGGAAAAATTGGTTCTCGATCGATGTGGCAACTGTATTTATTGTGTACACAGCTATACCATGAATCAAACGTCCACGATCAGCTCGCCCGGCACAGAATCTTGAACTTAACCAGAAGGCACAGAACCAGAGCCAGCATGTCGATTGCCATTGCAAGTTGGCTGCAATAGTCTTCCAGTACCTTCTGGATGCTCCACAACCAATCCTGGCTCAGGGTACTTAACAGCCTGTTGAGCCTTCTTATTGCCAGTGTGACAATCGCCAGTAGCAGATCCAAGATCGGCAATGAATACTGGCGGCAGCTCGCTCAATCCTCGCCTGTCAACTCTCTCCGCTGGCTTGAAGCGCTCAAGACGAGTTTGCTTTCCCGCAACAGCCGTGATAGGCGCACAGTTCATATACACCTCCCCAGTTGTTCGTGATTGCCAGGTCCATGCCCACGTATATTCCCCCGGTTCGAGATCAGAAGGAAGTGTCCAATCGAAAGAGTTCGGCTTTCCTGCCTGGATGTTTAACGCTTCGCTGGCGACTGGGCAACCGCCCTCGATGGATTTGATGACTCGGAAATCATCGTTGTCTTTGCTTGGCGAATGACCTGGAAGAAGAGAGAATTGACAGCTTCCACCACCGTGTGTCGCAAGGCCCGTAAAAGAAGCAGTCTGAGATTGGCCTATTTGAATGAGAGTTGGCTCCCCATCTATCTCTATGCCTTGGTGCCCGGCCGGGATTTTGCACGGCCAATCTAACCCACTAGGCTCGAGAGGATTTGAAGGGCCATAGGCTGGAAATTTGAATGGCCTTGGGTTCTCTAGAACCACATGCCCTCTTGCCAAATGAGCGCAGAGTGCCGCAAGGAACAGGTGGTTCAGGAATGTTATCTTCGGTATAATCGCCATTGAAATTGATGTCGGTAAAGTTGGTTTTGTAGTAGTGTTGGGATCTCAAAACTTAAATAGTTGCTTTGAGGTTTGATATCTTGATGTAGTAAATTTTAAAATCGAGGTTCTGTTGTTTTTAGAAAGTACTGTTCTTGGGATGAACAAAGCAAAAAACAGAATTTGGAGATGTCGGATATCCTATTCTACTGTACGAACAAGACTACAACTCAATGAATGGTAAAGCAAGTCTGAGAACAATGACTTTTCGAAAATAAGGTACAGAATGGAAACGAGAGGTTTGAAGAGTGGAGAGAGCATCACCGCACAAGAGGAATGGAAATATATACAGCTTTTCAAAATAGGAGTCAGGAATTAGTCTTCCTGCGAAATAGACTTGCTTGCCTTCCACAAGAACAATTGGTCTTCGCTAACCAAAAGGTGCCAACTAAAGATGCAGTGTTTAAGGGACTAGGGATGCGATCTGGCCAATCGCTGAGTGGGCAGATCACGTGTGACACTGCTTGCGATACAAGACGGCGGCAGAGCTCCATCCCATGTGAGGCGTTTCTTCAACAACAATCATATATTAGGAATGTACATGTTGATAATTGATTTTCAACCCATACTGCTCCCTCATATCTGACGCTTAGAAGGTCCAGACAGGACCGAGGAGTAGGCATGATGAGAGAGTGTTATGTTCAGGGATGACAGGCGGGCTGTGCGAATCAAAAACATGTATCTTACCTTCGTACGAGCGACCCAAGGATGGAATGCAGAATTCGCTTCAGATGTAATACCAACACCGATCATACGTGGGAGATCCTCTTTTCTGCCTTTGGAAAATTTCCCCGTTGTGGAAATTAGAGCCACCATACGGCAAATCAAACGATACAGCAAATACAGATACCACAGACCCATTGTTGGATGCGCAGTAACAAGATTTCGCAGCACAAGTTTGGGACTTGATGTAGATGATGAAGCCAAGAATCGTGCAGGAATCGTTCATCAAAGTCCATGCACAAAGGCCATTCAAAAACAACGCACATTTACCATGGTTCCGATGAGTCTAGCGTTTTGAACTTTACAAGGACACTTGTATGTTTCGTCAGTGTTTTGCGACCGTGACCCCAAACGAAAAAGAGTACGCAACGTGGTAATGTATAATGAGACCGCTGTCCTATCAAGCACGAGAGGAAAAGGAGAAATACTCACTAAAGAGCTGCAAAGAAATTCGCAACGGAACGGGAAGCAAAACCCCTAATACAAGTGGTACTAGTAGAACGGGTGTGTTTACTTCTCGGTGGGAAAGTCGACCATCACTTGAATGAATTGCAAAGCTAGGGAGTCGTCCTTTAGAATAGCTAGCGGCGCCCGCGATGGTTGTGAACGCCTGATGAGGAAATCAAGGGTGCTGGTGTCCCTTAGCATCACTAAGGCAAAGCCGCAGCATAGCTTGAATGGGCTATAATTCTTTAGCATTTGCGCACGTGTCTCTCTCGTAGAGATCAATAGAAAGATAGAAATCTGGGCCGCGGATATCCAACAAAGTCAGCGCAAGTGAGTGCTATATCTGTTTTTATCAAGGTGAGTGTCAGGATCGGCTGGCTGGGTGATTGGCAAGTTAGACTTTAGGCATGTATTAAAATAGTTACGTGAGAGGCACTCATTGATTTTGGTGGTGATCAATATCGAGTGGAATGCTCTGATAGTTGGAACTCGTTCAAATCCGGATTAGCTAGTGATCATGAATGAGGTTGAAAAGGTAATGTACTCAGCTATATTGGAGACACTCCTGAAAATGAGAATTGATCTTTCCCGTTGAGGCGACTTTCAGACCCAATGAGATATTGCGATGGTATCGAGTTGGGAGTTGTAGTATCTTCCTTCCGATTCTCGGTGTCTCCATCGACAGGTCCGCCACGCTGTTCAATATTCTTCAGGCGCAACTTGCGCGTCTGGAAGTTTGAGAGATGTCAATTGAAGATTGACGGTAAATGGCAAGCCTTCAAATTTGCTTTTACAATGCTCTCAGGCAAATCCAACACCCAGTAATCGGCTGGTCAAGCCATTGCTTCTGCATCCCGTCGACCCAACACCATGGCACCAAACGAAGTTACTGCTTTTCCAAAAATGGCATCAAGCTCACCAGCTTGCTCGGTATCTGTTGAATCTGCTGATGACATCTCTGTTTCTTCCCCGTGCTCGTATGTGGGTTGGCGTCTGAATACAGACGGAGTCTCCTGTGAGAAGATGGAATCTGGATGCGACAGTTCCTGCGAGATGTTCCTGGGAAGAGAATGCATGCTTCGAAGCCGAACATATTGCCACTGCTATTGCCATCCCATCGCGAGTCTGGTATTCGGCACCAAGTGTCGGTCGGCGTGCCTTCAAAGTAGGGAGACGCCTTCGTATTATTGCACCTCGACCTGGTTAGACTCGCAGTTAGTGGATTGGACGATCAAAAGGAATCGGTCGGTTTGGTTGGCAGGACTGACCGTCGTGGCACAGATCCGTCTGATGTGTTGCGGGACTCGAAAAGGTGATATATATGCGCTCAAAACCTTGGGTCCAAACCTGGTTGTTGTTTTTAGCGGAATATAGATTCTCCGTACAGTATGTTCTTCACCTTACACATCGTCGGTTTCTACATTGTGATTTCACGTACATTGGCGAGATTTTTATATACTGGCATTTCTGGATGCTGGCGGCTGCAATGCTGACATTGTAGTAACCTTAAAGCTGATAATTCCCTTCTGATTATTTCCTCCTCTTCGTATCCGCATCTATGAAGTTGCTCCCACTCACTCGCACCATCACTCGCCGCGTAAAACACTGCGCGTTGGGACTCTCTCTAGTCTGCCATACTATCTCGCCCATCTGTGCGGCAATCTCCTTCTCCTGCTCAAACGATGCGCTTCGCTGGTTAGCAGTTGAGTCCTGTTGTACGTCTGGCAATACCCTCCTGCATTACGCGAGCGACCCATCGCAGGTGGTTGTGGTCTACGTGGATTTCGATTCTTCTTCGCCATGGTCATATCCCCCATTCTGCACCCCGTATCTCGAAGATCTCGCCAGCGAACTCTGCGTATACACCAATTCTAGTTTTGGTAATGGCCGCGGCGTTTCCATCTTTACCACGCCTTCGATCGCTCAAAAATTCGCGACTCTTCAACCCTTCCGTGATGGGACAGTGCTAGAGGGCGTGAACTCCGAGCGTCGACGGTGGCATACTCGAAAACTACCAGGAAAGGGGCAAGCCATGATGGCCACAACCAAACTGGAAAGAGGCGATCATCTCACCGCGTTTACCCCAGTCTTGATAGTCAGCATGGAAAAGATCCTACCCATACACGACAACGAGAGGTTTCTTCGCAAAGCCATCGATCAGCTCCCTCCAAACACAAGGTCATCTTACCTCGCCTTGTCCCGCATGTACAGCAATCCGGATGTCTTCGTTCAAGATATTTTGAAATCCAATGCTTTTGAAATCCAAGTTGGCGGCAAGATGCACCTTGCGATATTCCCTGAACCCGCACGGTTGAATCATGACTGTGCGCCCAAGTGAGCAAACTTGAAACGAATTTCATGTCACCTATTGACTAGAATAGCGCGCAGTACTACTTGGATGCATCGCTCTTGACGCACCATGTATATGTTACTCGTCCTGTCGTGGAGGACGAGGAAATTACAATATCCTGTAGGTTTGCTCGCTCGCCCTAAGTTTCACTTGCTCACCGTGTAGATACATCCCCGTTGCAGCAGACCAAATACCGGCAGTCACACCTTATGGATTCTTTCGGGTTTAACTGCTCTTGTTCCCTGTGCGCCAACAGAGCTGCCTTTGACAACGACCTGGAAAACATCAACAGGATCCAAAGCACGCTCGGCGACTGGGCTGAGAATAGTACGGCAACTTGCGAAGATGCCCTAGAACTGATCCGTCTGTATAAGAGTCATGGCCTGGATTCGTTTCTTGACCTGCCGTATGGCTTCGCCGCGCTCACTTACAATTCTTTTGGGGATTCGAGACGAGCGGTAAGATATGCACGTTTGGCTGGGGAAGCCGTCAGAATGAAGAATGGTCCCGCTGCGGCGGACTTTGGTTTATGGGAAAGTATCGCGAAAGAGCCAAAGAGCCACTGGAGTTGGAGGTACCGCCTCAGATGATGTTTCGTAAGTTTTTAACAGAATTAGGAACGTTACTACCTGTCCTAGTCCGCAACGGTATCACCAAGAGCTGTATACCTACTTGAGGATCTCAAGCTCGCTCACTCAAGACCGGGCTGAATAATACAATTACACAAGTTAATTCCCTTTGAGTTTCGGGGTGGCCTTGTCTCGAATTTTGCCTATTTACCCAGCCCGGTTAGGTTGTGTGTTCCCAGTATTTTTGAGTGGACCGGCTCTATGGATACCATCTCACACTCCGCCTTGTTGTGTTTTCAAACCCCTCCTGCCCCCAAATAGCAATGATCATGAAACTCCTGCAGATGTTATGCAAACGTGTGCTATACTACACCTCGGCTTTCCCGTCGCTTTCATCTTCCAGTTCAGACCCGCTAGAGATGGCCATTCTTCGATGTCGCTGGTCGGGTTCAGGTCACCACTGTGCCTTCCCATGTGGTCATGGCATTCAAATTATGCGATCACAAATCCCGAAGATATCAATTTGTTGCATACTCCTTGTGGCCGTTGTTTCCCTATGTCACAATTAGTTGAGGCGATGAAATCTTTATAGATTGCAGATTAGCTTAACCGCAGGTAACCGCATTGACAGAAATGAAGCTGCAAACCTCCTCCATGATGGTCCCAGAAATTGGTGAGCGCGGACAGCTTCACGACCCAATTCGCAGCTTTCACACAGCCCGAAATATAAAGTCAATCCCTTGAGACGGTTGCCTGATGGCAGATCTATTGTCTGATACGAGAATGATCACCCAAATCATGCGACATAATTAATATGTTTTATGGCAATCAAGTTCGCGAAACTTTATTCGAAAGCAATACAGCCAATTATCACGGGAAAGAAATTTTACAATTACCCACCAACCGACCGACGATATTGATTCAATCTAAGCAACAAAGGTCAATCTACGGCCTCACCGTGAGTCTCTTATGGTTAAGTAATTCAAACTGATGTCTACCTTCAAGTGGCAATATATAAGATGATTGATTATCTCCTAGTTTCCGCACCACTTCTCAGAAAACGCTTACAAGTACTAGATCATTATCAATAAAAAATTCACGATACCCTTCTCTCAAATCAACCCAAGCTAGATCTAGGTTCAATAACTAGCACAACGAATCATGCAGCTCCTCCAGAAACCAACCTTCACGCTCCTCCTTCTCAACCTCTCGTTCACAAGGGCAGCGCCAATGGAAACATTAGCTATAAATTCTGCACCTTCCGACGCACAAGCAAAGCTTCTTAGCATGGCGTACTCGGGCTCTGGTTGTCCTCAAGGAAGCGCCTCTAAAGAATATGATGCCCAGATCAACTCGGGCAGATGGTTCTTTGACGGCATCTCAGCTCAGATCGGTCCCAACGTTCCAATAAGCAAGTCAACCCAAAATTGCGAGGTGCAACTCTCCATACAAACGGCAGCGGGTTGGCGGTTTGCCGTGAGAGGGAAAAATGCAGGATCAACATCGATGACTACGCGAGTAAACCTACAGGACGGAGTTGCAGCTTCATCTATTACCACCTACAACATTGCAGGTGTCGGTTCTCAGGTAAGAGAATCTCGCTCTACCTAATGATCCCGTCTAACATTATAGCAGGGAACTGTTCGCAATGATTTCTCGGGGCCGAGGAATGGCGAGTGTTCCTTTTCAGATCCTGCACCAGGCCCAGCATATCCTCATTCGAATTGCGGAGGAGGAATTTTGATTGTTGATCATCGCGTGAGCCTGTCCAGAGGATCGAGCTCGTCGCCCGTCGGTTCTATCGAGTTATATGGCGATGGAGGGTCTGGGCCACAGAACGATAACTTTGTTCCACTGGGTGCTCTGGAGTGGGAAAGATGTTGATAGTTCAAATAACCCTCAGTGGTTTGTATAGATAATGGCAGTGGGGCGGCGTTTGCATCTTGGCCATGGTTGTCGATGAATTTGCTTCATCTTTGGTCGCTGGAAAATACTTGCTGTATGTAGAGAATCTGAGTCAAATTTTGATCAATTCAACGTAAGATCCTGCAAATTTTAATCAGCTGGAGATGTAAATTATCATTGTCGCTTCCTTCACCTCACCGCATTCTTACCTAGATGATCCCATCTTGCACCGACACGACCAGCCCCGATCAGGGTTTGTTGCAGACTCCCGTTTTCGGATTGCTTACTGATATGAGAAGTATCTGTAACACGGGATGCTGTCAGGTTGTGGTGGATTTTGGATCCTTCACCCAGGCAATATCCCAGCTGCGGCTCTCGACGGATTGGCTTGAAAACCGCCCTTGCAATGTTTTCGTCGCTCTCCTCTCGACGCTTTGAGATCCTATGTAGCTACAGGAGTGTCTCTGGGTCTGAAATCAAGAAGTGTACTGTCGGTGCAGTGGGTGATCTGGATGAGTCAGCCATACGAAGTACGGACTCCCCGGCTGCCCAGGGGCTGGGCGCCCGATGATACTCACCTGGGCATCCCTCACCACGACATCTCAGCCTTCCATCTCATTACATCGTCCGCGCAGTCACCTCCTCAGCGTCGATCGACTGCGCCCAACGCTCTATCACATTGTACACAACCTCGACTTCGCCAACGAAATGAATGAGCGTGCCAACCACGTGGCGAGGACGGCTCTCCAAGCTTCAGCGTCAAGACCGGAGCCGGTCTTGATATGTCGATATCAATCGTGCAGCCATGGGAAGCGGTACAACTAGACCGTGCAGTATGGAAATTGCTGCGATAGAACTCCAGCAAATCCGCAACAGTGTTTGCTCCGGCCATAAATTCAAGCTTCCTAAGCTTTACGTATACTGACTAAGCTAAGCTATTGTTACTTTTGGCACTGTTTCAAGCCGATGTTTGCCTCTCCCATCCTTGAACGAATTAATCGCAGAACCTGTTGCTGACTCGCGCGCAAGTCGCTCTTGCCAATGGAGATACTAATGAGACGTGGTCAAAATTGTCACAAGTAAATGTTTACTTTGTAGAATGTTGTATGAGTAACTCTCTTTATTTTACCAGGGGTCTTCTCCCCATCTGCGATGTCCTCACCTCTTGAAGTTAGATCGTCCTTCCATTACGTCAAGCGATGGCTTTGCTATGATGTCTTAGCTTATCCCCAAACCTCGAAATGTTGTTGCAGAGCAATGTTTAAGAGTTTCAGGACAAGCTTTTCCAGCGCATGTACTTCTCTTGAGGAGTGCAAGCGAGGTCGACTGGCGAACTTTATAGTCTTAACTATACGCTAAATACTTCTACTTCAGCCTCACGAGCGCAAGTATCAGTGTCGAATCCCCTTTCAAAGTGCGTTGCCCATCGGGGACGATTTGGGCTTATCGTATCTTGAGTTTTGGCACTTCAATGATCTGAGTACCCAGCCGATGAGACTCTTATCTCACATTTGGTCAAGTACCTGAGGATGTTTAATTTTACCTTGTCAGTTATTTTTTCCCAGCGTGACAGGGGTTAGTCAGATAATAATGTCGCCGGCTGACAAACTCCGAGTCTGGTCCGGTCCGTGGCGGGTTAAGCACAACACCAACGATCGTTGCCAATGATGTACGCTACCTACTACTTACTCATGAAGTTACGAAAGATGCTTTTGAGGGTTTAGTATGTAGCATGTAGATCTTCGAGGCCAGATTTTTCATATAAAAAGATCGCTCTGCTCAACCCAATTCCACGTTTTCACTCTTACCCCTAGACAGCCGGGTCTCATGTTATCGAGATTCAAACGGTTATAACCCCTTCGTGAAGATGTCTTCCGCAGCAGACACTACTCCGGGAGCAGAGCTTCATTATATTCTCACCACATCCCTACCGGTGCATGACGCGGAAAAGCCATTGGAGCTACCCGTCATCGATAATCGATTTCTCGTCGGATGGGAGGATGATCGTGATCTCAAAAATCCGAGGAATTTCCACACCATACGAAAATGGCTGTGTGTTACCGTGGTCTCGATGGGGTCATTGCTCGTGTAGGTGTTCTATTGCCTAGCTCCATGATGTACTTGCTAACATCGGAAGTACTTGTACGTCCTCACTTTACACATCGTGCTATGGGCAACTCCACGAAGAATTTGGAAATTCGCAGGAAGTTGCAACACTGGGTCTCTCCCTATTCGTCGTTGGACTTGCTGTTGGGCCTATGATGGCAAGCCCGCTGTCCGAAGTTCGTCACCTGGTCGAATTTGGCTCAGTTGATATTGCGTGCTAATTAACGTGAAGTTTTATGGACGAAAATGGATATACTTAATGTCGATGTTCTTGTTCCTGTTGTTTCTGGTACCTTGCGCTGTCGCCCAAAATATCCAAACAATGCTGGTTGGGAGATTTCTGGATGGATTAGCGGGGAGCGCTTTCCTCAGCGTGGCCGCTGGCACGGTGGCAGATCTGTTCGTCCCTTCTGAAATTCAGAATCCCATGACGGTGTACACTGTAGCAGCGTTTATTGGCCCTGCTGTTGGTCCCGTTATTGGCGGTTTTATTAATTCTTTCGCATCATGGTATGTATCTCAACTCCACTTAATATTACGACACTGACCAGGTTAGGCGATGGTCGTTTTACGTGCTCATGATCTGGACAGGGATTTTACTTTTGTGCCTCATTTTTACCCCCGAAACACATGAGCCAACATTGTTATACCGAAAGGCACTTGCAACTCGTAAGGTCACAGGCATCGAAACGTATAAGTCGAACTCCGAAATCATACGAGCGTCGAAGTCCTTGTCGAATGCGTTGATACACTCCATGTATCGCCCTTTTCAGTTGCTTGCTCTGGAGCCGATGTGCCTTTTGCTTTGCATTTATTCCGCTGTTTTACTAGGTGTTCTTTACTTATTTTTTGGAGCGTTCGTATTAATTTTTCGTACAAATCATGAATTTAATTTGTGGCAGACAGGGCTGTCTTTCGTTGGGATTGGACTGGGTACGGTACTTGCGACATGCACAAATCCAATCTGGCGTAAGAATTACGACAGACTCGTTCGGAACTTGGAGGCCGATGCAAAACGGAATGGTGAAGAAAAGGTTCCAAAACCTGAACCTGAGTTTCGTCTTCCACCAGCTATTTTTGGAGCCGTTGCTGTGACCGTGAGCATGTTTTGGTTTGGTTGGACCACATATCGATCTATACATTGGATCGTGCCCATGATTGCGACTGTTCTCTTTGGTGGGGGGCATGTACACTCTTTCCGAAGTTTTATGAACCGAGCTAATTTGTGTAGCATTTTCCTGGTCTTCTCTAGCATTTGGACATTTCTCGTCGCGGCATACCCGGCGTACGCTGCTTCTGCTTTGGCGGCGAACACTTTTGCTAGATGTATGTTTGCTGCAGCATTTCCGCTTTTTGGGGAACAGAGTACGTATTGATATCCAGCTCACAGTGAGCCTTTCAGTAACCCGGCCAGTGTACAAAAGGCTCGACGACCAATGGGCTACATCCTTGCTTGCATTTATAACCCTAGCCATGATGCCACTTCCGTGAGTGATTATGAAGATCCGAGTCGTAGATTTCAGCTGACCACCGCGGTGAGATGTCTGTTTTTCCGATATGGAAAAGCACTGAGGGCAAGAAGCAGATTTGCATCTGTATAAGTTTGAGGAATTGGCAATGGTACAAAATCAACATTTAAAGTGGTCCAGTGGTAATTGTCATGGAAGGGGTACTTCGAACGTGGAATGTACTGCACATATGGAGTATCAGTTGATGAGCGCAAAAGCTTTTGAGACATCGCTAGTTACAACCATGTTGCCAGCACGAGGGTCGACTCGTCACACCGTAGTGGAAAGACGAAAAGGCTGCTGAGTGGTTGAAATAGACGACCAAACCGTCTTAGACAGCACGGTTCGGACATCGTCATCTGGCGCCAAATATCGCGAGGTTTTCTTCTGCGTGAATATGTCTAGAAAATCCAACAACAAGGTACATCGTTCCGCAGACGTCGATCAATTAAATGAGTTACGTTCGTGTATAGTAGTCCCCCAACTCTACGTATGTGATAAGTAGCTTATTTATCAGAACAATTCTGCTATAAAGTTGGTCATTTCGTCCTCCGGAAAATCAGATATTGTTAAGTTTAGGCCTAAGCCCAGCTGCAGACACTTAAATCGAATAAACATACTAGAACCGTGTATTGCACGTCCTCAAGACTACGCAACGATGTCAGATAGAAGTAAATTAGTAGGTCTTCGTATCCCATACGTTTGATGGTGTTTGGTCTTACTGACTTGCATGTAGGATGACCCCATGGCAGAAGGGCGCTAACAACTGATTAACGTCATGAGGAATCAAGCCTTAGATTTGAGCCACGGCGATTGGAACTTTGTTAATGTGTAGACCTAGTAAATACCCACTGAATTCTTTCCTTGACCTTAGTCTCAATGCTCCAACATAAAGTCTGACTTGACAAGGGAGCTTTAGTCAACCAACGCTGGATGATCGCCAAGACCCTAGGAGATATAACACATGTCGTTTTCAATCTGAACACAGGAATATTTCTCGCAGTATTCTCAAGTAGTCACGCCTGATTACTGGACTCGATGGTGGCTGATCGCTATTACATAGCCAACCGAATAAAATTTCAATGTTTACGCTGGATGGGTCGGCATCATGCTATGGTGGCAAAGATGGAGCTTCAAACAAAAGTGAGTAATGCATAACACCAAGTAAGTTGACGACTAACCATCGATGACAGCAAAGGTGAAAGCTGGAGGTTTGTAGTCGTCATACCATAGTAGTAGAGACCCTGATCTTTTGGTGAAAAGTGTGTGGTGGCGTGAGGATACAGAAAGATTGCTAGATTGTGCCAGTGGCCAAAGCCATGGTCAAGATTTGGTGTACGAACATAGTGAGTATCATCCTCCTCCAGTGGAAGTTACGCGTATTAAGGTCAACAACTAGAAAATGGCGCAAATCAGCACTGGTATCTTAAAAGAATGAATGATATCGACAACCCAAACGTTTACTAGGTGGATGGAAAACGTACCTGACAACCCAAAGCTTAGTATAATAAACCATGTGGGCACACGTCAGTCGCTAGCGTTAATGCGTAAGTAGGACAACGCCAATCCTATATGTCAAGAACGGTCGGTCTACGAGTAGCTTGCTGACGGCATTCGCTACCTCGACTGCCGCTTCATACGCGGTGATTATAAATGTCTACACACCACCCATGGTCCATGGGTCCCCCAAAGCTGCACCTGGTTGGCAGTGCTCATAAGCACTCAGGTGTTCTTGCGTCGCTTCAAATCTGAGGCGGTGACGATAGCTGTGTCGCTTGAGGAAGCGGAAGACAGGCATCAATTCTGGGTAGATTTCAAAGTCTTCTGGGACAACAACCCAGAGCTCGTTTATACTTATCCTCGTCCAGGTTGGACAGCAACTAGTCCATCTAGAATAGGCAATAAGACTAAGAGTGATGAAACATTAGATAAGTTTCGTGGTAAGATGATCATCTTACTGTCTAAGAATCACAAAGGAGTCGAGAAAGAAAGGGTAATAGTCTACGCGACTAATTAGGCCGTCTGGAACGCTTGGCAGTACTCAGACGGTGGTGCAATTAAACACCGCGTAGCTGGGCTGAGACACACGACAGTCTTACAGGAGATAAGAGATATCAAGTAAACGAAAGATATTGTTCCGAGTTAACAGCACGCACCCAAACAGACAACGACCCGTCGCACATATACAGTGTTCCATGGAACGTATCCTCCCTCCTGACGTACAATCCTATCGACGTATTCAGAAGTCTTGAGCCGGTAATGAGCAGGATATACTAGAATATCGGCACAAATGGGCGGCTCCGGATCCGAGCGGTCAGTCTTGACTTCTACAATCAAGCACCACATATTATGCGTCCCATTAGTTGTAGTAATCCGGGATGTGGTGATCTATGATTATCTGCTTCTGGGGGTCTGTTTCCTGGATCTCCTGGGCGGTTATTCGCACTCTGGCTCTATGCTCTTTTGCAAGATGCAGGCATTGATTTCCTATGTCCCGCTATGTGCCTTCTTCCAGACGTCCTTGTAAATGCGAGCGTGAAAAAAGTTTCGCATTATAGCTAAGGTTAACCGTTGACTTTCTCCACTGGTAGCTTAAATTGGGAAAGGCGGGAAGAAGATTCAGAAATTGTCTAAACTATGTACACTTCATGCTATGGGTATTTTACTCAATAAGTGGTACAACGATCATTGTCGCCCTTACACCTTTTCCGTATCTGTTCAATGCGTTCGCAACGCATGTCTCCAGTCCTCCCCGAATAATCTCAATCTCCAGGCTTGGGACATGCTATTCCTTCTTTAACCTTTCTCGCAAACCCGCGTTAATCAAACCAGACAGCACAGGCATTGTTCACCATCACTGCAGCTAACGCTGGAGTTTAGCTCGACTACTTGAGGTTGCGACTCTTTCTCATCCCAAGGTGTGGTAGCGCAGAGCTGTGAATCGTCGTATCTATTAGCGGCCGATAGTGTGTTGGCAACAACTGGCGATGTGCGGCCCATAGAAGCAGCAGCTAGCCATGATGGATGGGTCTGTTCGCATCATCCTTTACAATGTTCAACACCAGGATATCATCGCGATGATCCTAGCATATCGCTGACCAACAACCTCTTGACGTACTGCCGGTCTTGTCCCCCGCGCATCTTGGGCGAATGTAATGTGATCCAGAAGCGGCGCTATGCTGCCGTTAATGAGGAGGTATATTGTTGGAGAGATCCGTGACCACCGAGTCCATATTCAGGAATTCTGTTTCACGCCCGGATATCCTGCGCATCATCACCGACGGTTTAGACTTGGACGTGCGTGTTAGCGATTATGGCCTGGCAGTCTTTTTGAGCTTCTGAATGTATCTACCGCCAGCAACTTCTGCTCCAATTACAATAGGTCACGAGGATATCTTGCAACCAACTTTCTCTTGGAAATTGTGAACGAAATTGATTTCGATGGCCTGGTTCTTAACAAGGAGTTGATAGGAGCCTGGCAGTGGAATTTTGCGGGCTCGGAGCTTGAATTGTGCACCCCTTGGGGAGGTTGTCATTGTATCATTGATAGTAGAGTTCAAGTGTGGAAGTGCCGAATGTGCCCGAATATATTCGAAGACCTGCTGGTGGATCTCCTCCTGCTTCATATCGACAGTTTCCCACTAGGCATTCCAACACATTCAGGCATCTCGAGTACAATCTTCGCAGTCTCCATAGCTACATTGTCCGTTATGATTTGCTCGATAAGAAATACTGGTGATGTCCTTGGTGCTAATTCTAAGTTGTACAATACAAGCGCATTATCAACGATGGCTCATCAATTCGCAAGCGCATACCACAACATTGGTTGAGCTCCCCGTCGTGGGCGGGAGAAACATGAAAGAATGGTGCTCGTTGGTCAGGTAAGCTCGAGATATATTGCATCTGTGGTACTAAGTTCATGTGATATGTTTTTGTACTCATTCATTCGTGAACAGCGACCGAGCTGAGCGTGCCAAAGAGGCTCCATCCCAAAACAAGTTCTGTTTGTGTGAGGAAGAGAGCATATAGATAGATCACAGCACCCACACGACCACATGTCTTGTCCCAGAGGAAAATGAGTGTGAAAGAGTAAATTTGATCTCCAGATTCGGGTGTCATGAAACATTTCCAGCAACAAAATTCCAAGAAACAAAACCACAACAAGGAAATCGAATCGCAACGAGAGGGAACCAAAACGACATCTTGGCAATGTCAGTTAAGATTCTATCGTTACCGATTGACGATTGCTTGCAATGCGGGATATAGCCCAGTATTGACAAGTAAGAAATGTAGAATCATACATGGCTGCCAGCGAACAAAGGTCATATGGTATTACAATTTTCGCTGAGCAACTGCTGGAGGAAACGAGCCTAGTCGCCTTTGCCGGTCGCGAACCGAATTGAATAACAACTGAGCAATGCAGCTGGAGCTAACCTGGCAGTACAAAGAGATCCTTCAATAATTCTTGAACACACTGCACTCCATGACAGGGATAACGTGCTTGCTCGTTCATCAGGGAATTAGATCTTCCTCCTCCACACAAACATAGCATCATCCTTCCCCGCGAAAGACGGCATTGCAACTCTGCAGAAGAGCTCCCAGCCTGGCATCTGTGCGACGAACCATTCTTCCACAGTACAGTCACTGAAGCCAGTGAAACGGTTGGCATTTTGTGTGCCCACGATGACCACTGAATCTCCATTGTAAGCCTTTACCGCCCTGCCTGTAAAATTCCCAGCGACCACCGGGTACACCATAAGGAGTACATCATGGTCGCCGCTGTTTTGCTTGCTCTGTTTCAAAAAATCCACCCCATCCATCTTCACATGATCATGAATCCACATCGTCCGGTATTCAGAGATCATATTGTCCACAGCCGTGGTCCTGATCCCCATGTTTCTCAGCAGATATGACCAGTATCCGTTTCCACTCCCAAGGTCGATCACGCCTTCCGCCCCAGTGTCCTTGACAAGCTTGGAAATT